TCGTGACTGCAGGATTTCATATTCTTTGGGTCTTTCGGTAAAGTCACGTAGATGGGTACAAATTAATGAAAATAATAAATATAAAATGAACAAAAAACTACGACGTTTTGATCACAACACAAACGATCGTCATCAGGAGGAAAGAGAGGGAAAGCTGCTGAATGCAGACTGTTTTATAGGTATAGGGTGTAGGAGTTAGTGATGTTAATGTGAGAGATCAGCGTGTTAATGTGACAGATTAGCGTGTTAATGTAAGAGATTAGCAAGTTAATGTGAGAGATTAGCGTGTTAATGTGAGAGATTAGCTTGTTAATGTGAGAGATTAGCGTATTAACGTGAGAGATCAGCGTGTTAACGTGAGAGATTAGCATGTTAATGTGAGAGATTAGCGTGTTAACGTGAGAGATTAGCGTGTTAATGTGAGAGATTAGCGTGTTAATGTGAGAGATTAGCATGTTAATATGAGAGATTAGCGTGTTAATGTGAGAGATTAGCATGTTAATGTGAGAGATTAGCGTGTTAACGTGAGAAATTCAACCTGTTAATGTGAAATCGGAGAGCCGAAGCCACGGGGGAAAAAATAAAATTTAACATCAGAAGGGGCAGGATGAAAAAATCTCGGCCAGTTAAGACTTATGCTAGTTGATGACGGTCTTTCCGATGATTGCTGAGTTTGTACCCATCCTCTCGGTTGAAATTGTGTCTGTATATATGGATGGCTTCATGAACGAATCTTTGTTGATAGCCAGTTGGCTTACTAAGACGAGGGTACTAATTATCTTTCAGAGAGAATTAGATTGCTCCGAATTGAACTAGACCATGTAGATAAGACACTTGAAATCACACTTAACATTGGCAGAAAACATTTCTACATCTGATTGGGAATATGTAGATAACATGACAGCTTCGTCAGCCGCTGCAATGTCAGCTAAATGTAAAGATAACCTGATTTCCAAGTTCCACCTCCTTTCCAAGAAGAAGCCAGATCAACACATTAAAAATATAGACGTTGACAAGGTTGTTACTAATCTGAGTAATAATCCAATTTCCCACGGCCTAAAATTGGTTTTGCCTAAAGGGTTGAACTTTGCAGTGACCCCTAAACACATCCCAGTGGATGATATAATTGCCCATGTCGATGTAGCCCTTAAGGGTTTGGGACACATCGCTGCAGACGTAGCCAAATTGGAAATTGCGGCAATCCTCAAAGACGCCAAGCCACCAATTATCAACATCAGTAGGATGAACGTTTTGAACTATCTCAATTAAAAAAGAGGGATGCCATGGTCATCCTCTCAGCCAACAAGTGCAATGCCACGGTCATCATGTACAAAACCACATACAATAACAAAATTCAGGACCTACTTAATGATGGTGGGTACACAAATATTGAAAGAGATCTCACCAACAGCTTCGTCACAAAAAACAACAACATCATCACTGATTCGGCTTCAATAATTGAAATAACCAAACGGGTTTCCTTAAAACCCTCTGCTGCTAGACCTCCCAGATTGTATGGCTTACCAAAAATGCATAATGAAGGTACACCCCTTTGTCCCATCGTCTCCACCAGTGACCCACCCACCTACAAACTGGCCTGGTTTCTGTCTGAGACCTTGCAACAATTCATCTCATCTGTACTTAACTCAGCTCACTTGGTATCCTTAATTAAAAACATCTCACTATCTCCAGGTAATTTGGTCGTTAGTTTCGATGTAGTTTCTTTGTTCACCAAAGTTCCTGTGCCCGACACCATTGCAATCATCGAAGATTTATTCCAACAAGGATTGAATGCTGATGTACCGGCCCTGGTTAGACACTGCCTCACCAATACATACTTCACCTGGAATGGAACATTTTACAAACAAGTTTAAGGCACTCCAATGGGTTCTCCCTTATCTCCGGTTGTAGCGAATGTTTTCATGGAAAAATATGAGAAAGACGCCATCCAGGCATCCACTCTACATCTGTCCTTGTGTAAGAGGTACGTAGATGACACGTTCATCATCTGGCCACATGGCCGACCAGCTCTGAACCAATTCCTCAACCACATTAATTCCATACACCCAGCCATCAAATTCACCATGGAGGTGGAAAAGGATGGCAAGCTACCATTTTTGGATGTTCTAATCGAAAAGAGACCAAATGGCTCAATGTGACACTCTGTCTACTGAAAAGTAACCCATACTGACACCTACCAAAAACCTGACTCCCACCACCATCCAACCCAGAAGAATTCCCTCATCAAAACTCTACACTATAGAGCTCGATGCGTCTCCGACCATCATCATCTAGCTAGTGAACTGAAACACGTGCACCCAGCTCTCAAGATAAATGGATATTCGGACCACAAAATCCGTAAAGCTGTCACCCCAACGATTGGGAAAGAACCATCTGAGGACCCAATCAAACCATCACTTTGCCATACATAGCAGGGGTCACCAAAAGGATCTCCAAAATCTTGAGCAAACACAAGATCCAGGCTCGATTTAACACAGTACATAAAATTTGTGAACTGATCGCAATCTGTGAAGGATAGGATCCCTGATATGCAATATCCTGGCGTTTATGAACTAAGCTGTGTCTGTGGCAGTAGTCACATTGGGGAAACAAAGCGACATGTCTCAGACCGTGTTCGTGAGCATAAGGCAAATCTAAAACACGGTAGGACCAACGCATTGGCCGTGGCTGATCATTGTTTAAATGCGGTTGGCTCACACGAAATAGATTTCTCTAAGACGATGGTACTTTGTAAGCCCACTGGCTATCAACAAAGATTCGTTCATGAAGCCATCCACATATACATACACAAACACAATTTCAACCGAGAGGATGGGTACAAACTCAGCAATCATTGGAAAGACATCATCAACTAGTATAAGTCTTAACTGGCTGTGATTTTCCCATCTTGCCACCTTCTGATGTTATTTTTTTATTTTTCCCCCGTGTCTTTGGCTCTCCGATTTCACATTAACACGCTAAACTCTCACATTAACTTGCTAATCTCTCACGTTAACACGCTAATCTCTCACATTAACACGCTAATCTCTCACATTAACATGATAATCTTTCACATGAACACGCTAATCTCTCACATTAACATGCTAATCTCTCACATTAACTTTCTAATCACTCACATTAACATGATAATCTCTCACATTAACTTGCTAATCTCTCAAATTAACATGCTAATCTCTCACGTTTACATGCTAATCTATCACATCAACACGCTAATCTTTCACATGAACACGCTAATCTCTCACATTAACACGCTAATATTTCACATGAACACGCTAATCTGTCACATTAACACGCTGATCTCTCACATTAACATCACTAACCCCACCCACGTCGTTTATGACCCTAGGACTACACCCTATAAAACAGTCTGCAGTCAACAGCTTTCCCTCTCTTTACTCCTGATGAACGATCGCTTGTGTTGTGATCGAAACGTCGTCGTTTTTTGTTCATTTTATATTCATTATTTGTATTAATTTGTACCCATATACATGACTTTACCAAAAGAACCAAATAATTATTGGTTAAACATTCGCAGGTCACAGGTACCGGAGTGCCAACACCCAACCGTATGCTAGCTTTGCTTTCAATGCATCGACAGGAGGATTGGCCACCCTGCTAAGCGAACACTGGTCACAGGAACGGCAGTCGACTTCAATTCTACTCATGTTCACCGCACTATTGTGTTCTTGACACGCAGGCTGTTGCTAGCCGGCGAAAAAACGGTTACGCTGCGTGACGAATCAAACCATTTTCAAGGTCCTTGATTGAACGTAGCACTGGATCGCAGCCGATAAGCCTTCACTTTCGAATCCTCGAAACCGCCTCGCGATACCTCACAGAGACAAAATGTACCCGCTGATAAATGACGACTGAGGCTCGATCGGCCTCGGGTAAAACGATAAAAGGTAATGGTGCAGCCATGCAATTCCTTTCTGCCGGCAGAAGGGCCTGCTACTCGGCAAAGCTGTAGAGAGTAGAGAACACCTCCGGAAGGTATTTGGCCTACTCTTTCATGCTAGCCAGACACCTTGGAAGCGTTGGGAGCACCCACACGCGAGCCCACAACACGTGACCTGCCCATTGACTGCGGTGAACCCACTCATACAGCTGGGTGGACAGAGGCACCCGGGTGGACTTAAGAAACTTGCCCATCCCTTTCGACGTTGACTAAAAGGGGGTGACCCCTGGATTACACGACTGGCAGTAACCAGATCAGCTGCACATGAGCTAAATTCGGTCTCTGTGGAAACAGTGGCCGTTGTGTTGAAGAAACGGCCGTACTGGAGCAACCCACCTTCGAGTTAGCCCGCACACACTGGAAATCCCCGTTAAGCGACTTTTCCGCGTATTACTCGGCCCTATTTCCCTCCACAGTGCACTGTGGTTGCTGCCTCGAACTAGTGGTTGTCCCGAGAATGGACTCAGCCCCGCCATAAGATCGTGGAAACGTCACCACTTGAAAAGTGCTATGAACAGGATATTGAGCACCGCTTCAATGATCTTTGATGAATAATTAACTTTTTAATTGTATGTATGTATGTCGAACTTCTTTCACACCGTGTGTAGTCAACCATGCTAATCGGATGTGCGGGGGAAGGACAATAAACTAAACACAAAAATGGGTTCTAAAGTTAAAAAAAAAATGTCAAATCTCAATTGAAAAGTGCATAGCTCCAGTGGCTTCATACTATCGGAAGAGCGTTCCAGACGGCCACAGAAGCACATCTGAAAGCGCGCGATGCGTTGACCGTCTTTGTTCGATGGCCAGCCGAAAGCCGCTGCTGCGAGGATGACGGGAGTTCGCGTGATGATCGTATGTGGGCCTTGACGAGACCATCAAGGCATTTGTGGTTCATGTGCGGCGAGCACTTCGTGGTCCTTGACGAGACCATCAAGGCATTTGTGGTTCATGTGCGGCGAGCACTTCGTGCGCGACTTCGTAATGATCCTCTCCGGCGCGCTGCTCACCATGCGCGCAGGTGCGTGGGCATGAGCCAGCACCACGCGGCCGAGGAGGGGCTGAGTCGGCGTGGCGCCATCTGCCCTGGCGCGCTCCACGTCGGCGGGCCGGACAGCGAGGCCCAGGCGGGCGGCACAGAGGGCTCCTCCTCCTCCTCCTCCTCCGCCGCCGCCGCCGCCGCCGCCGCCGCCGCCGCGTCCTCGTCCCCGTTGGGGCCCGACGAGCCAGGGTCGCTCGGCGGCTCCAACTGCAGCGTGAGCGGCGGCAGCGGCGTGAGCGAGAGCGGCCTGGACAACCCCGCGTTCGAGGAGAGCACGGACGAAGAGAGTGAGTGACGGCGACCGTGCGGGCGACGACGCGTGGCTCAACCCCGTGCCTCAGGGGTGGGAGGGGGGGGGGGCTGGAGGGTGGCTGTCCCTCCCCCCCACCCCCCTCTTCCACCACCCCCCCCCCATCTCCCCACTGAAAACTCAGCCCGCCCCCATTATATACGTATTATCTATTTTTACATTTTCTAAAATGATATATCCCGATAATGCTATCGGTGGAATGGCACCAAGAGGCGAAGTTTCCTTTCGGATGTCTCAAAGAGCAGTGCAACCCCTCGAGTTGGCGAATGGCCATGGCACTAGACATCGCAGAGCTCGCTCTGAGATGTCGCAGCATCCCTTCCAAGTTATTTAGTCACACACGTTGGGGGTGAGAGCTCGAGTGGAATGTATGATGTACAATATCAGATCGTATTGCTATTCGGGTTGAGGGTCCCAACGTTGGTTTAAAGTTTGTTTACTAGTGACTGTGATTTCGTGCCCCCCCCCCACCCTGGTACCCGATTAGTAATGTTAATATGCTTGAAGTGATGGACAAATATCATTGTGGACCGTTTTAAAGTGGCAGACGTTATGTCACTACGGGGCGTATGTGTGTATGTTGAATCTCTTTCGTACCGTACATCGCCGGCCGTGATAATCAGAAGCGTGAATTTGTGGGTTGCATCCAGGCCATGCCTCTCTAGGTCCCCCATCCCTGATGTATGGAGAGTGTCTGTATTCTGAATTGATTATCCTTAACATTCAATACCAAACTTTACAACAGTTACTTTTTATTTTCTTGTGTCTTGTTCTCAAGTGTTGCGACTGTCGATTTAACTTTATTTCGCGCGTGCAATTTCGCCAAACAATTGCAGAGTCCCTTCCGGGCGTAATTGTTTGGTCGCCTCCTTTCATCAGGCGTCGTCCGCATTTGCAGTGCTTTCAGAAGGGAAACAAAGTCACACGATACTTTGTTGATCCAAATTATGCAAATGCCCTCTAAATACAATTCTGCTGGGATATCTCAGAAGAGCAGACCCAGAGGAAACAATGTAAACAGTACATTTTTCGAATCCTTGCACTGCTCTTGGCCACTTTAAGACGTTCCATTTTGTTTGCAACTCTCCCCTTCAAATGGCTTTCTTTTCAGTCGTCTGCAAATGCGTTCATTGTTGGAGAGCACCGGACAGTCGCAAATGTTCCAGCAGTGAAGCATTCAAAGCACAGCCGTCTGCATGGGCAACTCTGTGGTGATAGCGGCAGAGAAGAAATTAATACAATGCCAAAGCGGTTACAAGGAGGAACACAAATCGGCCCATGTTGAGAATATCAATGGGTTTAAATTCAAGCCGGTTAAGTGTGTGTATTAACGCAGGGCGTGTGTGTGTGAGCGTTGTGGTTAGCGCGCTGCGCTTCGAACCCAGCAAACCAAGTTCGAATCCTGCTCACGGCCAACACCAGTGACGATTATTTAAACTGGCCATGGGCCTCCCATTAGTCGGCTCAGCCTCAAATGAGTACCTTGGTTCGCTGTGTAAACATCGCCACTGGGGAGACAAAGGCGGATGGGCGCGGTGTTGGCCACCCACCCCCTAGCTGCTCGCTAACAGCACTTGCGCCAACAGTCTCTACAGCTGTAAGGTCGGGGGGGCGGGGCGAGTGTGGGGGATCTTTGTCTCCATCTGTTTGAATCCATGTATGCGCATGCCAATTCTGCATATGACAATACTGCGCATTCATGATGGGAGTTTGGGACCAAATCATCTGCACTAAACCTGGCTGGTCTCAACCGATGCCCACCCCGGGTGCCGTGTTTGCCCATTTTCAGGGCCCGCCTCCAGTTCTATCCACTTGTACACAGTTCCTACCCTGACCTTGCTTTGCCCCCACCGCCAGCTGATGTTACACAGCGTCTTGAGATGCGCCCGAGCTTAGGTGCTCGATTAAAACTATGATTATTCTTATTCTGCAAAAAAAAAAAACCGGTACCTGGAACCCACATCATTGCGCCATTGCATCCAGAGATTACGGTATTATGCGATTATAAAACAACAGCATTCGGTTTTTTTTTGGTTTGTATTGACAGGATCAACCTGTAAATACAAACCAACCGGTCAATACTAACCAAAAACAAATGCCAATATCTTTACAACTGCTTTTATTGTTTAGTTTGTTGTTCTTCCCTGCACCTCCGGTTAGCACGGTTGGCTACGTACGGCGCCAAAGGAGTCCAACATACATACACTGGGTTCCCTACCTGTCACGTGGGGGTACGCGTGGCCACGTCTAGGAAGCCGACGATTCGTGTGAACGGTCACACGGTGGCTCAGCGGTAGAGCCAATGGCTTGCGATCAGAAGGGTGCGAGTTCAAATCCGGGCTGGAGAGGTTGACTCGGCCCATCTATCCCTCCAGGGTTGATACAATGAGTAACGCTTTGTGGAGTGGTCAACGGTGGTTGTCCTCATAGATGGACTTCACCTCCACAAAGAGGCGTTGAGGACCACCTCAATGCTTATTCGAGCAGAAAATGTCCTTGACTTTTGACGAAGGGAATGGTCATCCATCTGCATTCAGTGAAACTCAGCCAACCCCCCTCCACTTCATCGCGATGGTAATTGGCTCGAATCAAACTGTACGGGATTTTATTTTTATTTTGTTAAAGTGTAAATATTAATATTCTTGGTTATTTCGTTAAAGTCACGTAGAAGGGAAACGATAAAATACTAAAAATATAAAACAATACAATTATATCGGTTTTTATTGTTTTATATTTTTATTATTTTATTGTTTCTCTTCTACGTGACTTTACCGAAAGAACCAATAATATGAATCCCTGCAGTCACGAAAGCTTTAAATCAAAATGTAAATATTAAATTATACATATTTAGTTGTTATTAAGTTATTCGGTGCTAATAATACGCACGAGGTTATAATTCAACGTAATTAAAATGTAGATTTTTTTTCTTCTATTCTTTAAATTGTATTTACAACCGATATGTTGGTAGGCGTAGGACTATGCAGACAGCTGATGGTGCTGGTGGGGTGTGCGTGACAAGCTAAAGGTTGGGAATGACGAGAGAAAGAGAGAGAGAAAGTGAGCGAGTGAGCGAGTGAGACGAGGCGCACAGCTTCGAATTGCGCGCAAATATTTCTGAAAGAGCATTCACGTGTGCCCAAAATGCACTCGGCGTAATTACTGCGGAGCACGCGGCGTGAGGATAAAGCGCAGATGACATTTTATGGATGAGCGCCTCCAGACTCGTGATGCACATGCTATACCACGCCGGGTAAATCTCTGCACCAAACAGCAGCAGCAGCAGCAAAAAAAAACAACCCCACACACAAATTGTACTTCCTTCTCAAACAGATGCCAACACCTGCGGGTTTAAATGCAATGCTTGTGAGTGAACACAATCTTGCTTTTGGCTGGTCATCTAACAAAAGATGGTCACCGCATTTGGGTGCTTTCAGATGCACGTTGCGACCGTCTGGAACGCTCTTCCCGACGATGTTGGGACGCCACTGGAGCTGTTGCACTTTTCAATGTAGATTGTTGCCTTAACCCCCCGCCCCTCCCCACCTCCGATTATCACGGTTGGCTACGTACGGTGCGAAAGTTCAACATACGTACGTACGATCTAAAAAAAAAGAATGGGAGAACCAAGCAAAAAAAAATCAGACATTGCTTTTAACGGTGAATGCATTGAGCATGTGCGAGTGTGTAGAAGTACCGTGGGCACCTTGTGTCGAGGCGTACCCTCTCGTTCGAGGCCTCATCAGTTATGTGTTGACACAGAATATGCATCCTCGCCGCCTGCATTATTCCTGTTTTGGCACGGCCGCGCGTACATTTTTCACGGGGTCCGACTGCGTTCCGTCTGACAACGTTTGAATTAAGAGCAGAGTACAACTACACTCGCACGATGCGGGGTGTCCATAAAAGTATCGACCGTTTTTGAAGAATTGTAATGAGACAGCAGTGTGAAACTGCGTGGTTAAACGGTGGAATTACATGAAATACAAAAAGTGTTTGCCACGAGAGAAACGACTGAGCGATCTTCAGCAGCTCCACGACAGAAGCGATTGAAGTAATCGCGGCAGTGATGTTGGCAGACACTTATGGCTCTCAAATCTCGATGCAAAGGCCATCGCCGATGCTTTTTTTTCCGAACACGTGGGAGGATGAGCCCCGGACGGCAAAAAAAATAAAAAAATCTTCACACGACCGGATTGTTGAATTGACCCAGCTCACACTGCGGTCCCAACTGAAATCTATTAATAATTGATGGTACCTTTATGGACACCGTGTGTTGCATAGTTTGCCAAGGAACATAATTAGCAAAAAGAAAATACACTGTAAGGCTCGCAGCATGTAGAGCACTCGTCAGCTCGAGCAAAATCAAACTAAAAGACTTTCTCCTTTCTGTTCACACTGCGAATGCAGTCCCACCAAGCCAATTGTCGACCCTAACACTAACGCAAGCAAATGGTTGTACCCAGCATCTTAGGCTAAGCGCTAAATCACACACAAACCGTGGCTGCTGGCCCAAAGCCAGCAACTACCAATTCAAAATACAAGGCTCTCTCCGCAGCCAATCAATCACACCTGTGGTCTCTGCGCCAGTCCTTCCCAAATCGCACGTTGGATATTAGACTGTGGTGAAATATCCACATGTGTACGATGTCCCCCTCCCTCCATTCACACCTGCGAAGAGTCGGACCCCTGCCAAGGAGCACGGTCAAACACAATGGACTGGGAGGTGGCCAGGTGGCGTAATTGTCAGAGTGCTAACCTGGCACTGCTCTGAGATCCTCGGTTCAAATCCAGGCAGCCGCCTGTGATTAAGCCGGATCCTCAAATGTAGCGGGCTGGTGGTGCAAACGCGCAAAAAATATCACCACATTAAATTCGGTTCTGCACTTTACTTGGCCAAATCCCATCTCTGAGAATTGAAATATCAACGATATTGCAGAGTGTGTGGGAAGCACTTCCCTCCGCTGTGTGTGGATCCCATTATCACTTGAAAAAGGGATTTCAGAGGTAACTCTGCGATATCCACTTCCACGGGCCGTTCTCTAACACTAAGGGTTGCACTGCGTAGCAAGAATTCGGGAATGGTACTTTGTCTACTAAAATATAAAACTAGCGAGGGGGGGGGGGGATGGAAATTACTGAAAACAAAATATGACATTTCATGGATGAGCGCCCCCAGACTTGTGATGCGCATCACCGCGGACCGCGTAACCTCGTCACCGCTTGCGTCCCCCCGTCCCGCAGTCGCGCTGGAGCACCCCCTGTCCCGCATGCGCCGCCCGCTGTCCCGAGCCCTCAGCCACCTGAGGAGAACAAACAGCGGCAGCTCCGTGGGGCGGGAAGACCAAGCCGACGACGGTACCGGCATCGGCCCTCATCGGTGGCGTAGCCGTGGGGCGTGGCAGGCGGTCCAGCGGCAGCAGGGCCCGCAGGTTCCGGCGGCCCAGGCGCTGGGCTATGAGTGCGGAGAGGAGGGGGGGGGGGTGGTGCGGGAGGCGTAGAATTGGACAGAGGGTGACCTCATTTCGTTTCCTACACCTAGACCTATGCACATCGTGCCAAGCCACCGCGTCTACGATCACCATGGTTGGCTACGTAAGGTGCGAAAGAAGTTCAACGTACAGTGCACATGCATACGTAGACCCCCACAGTCCAACCCTATTTGGACCTTCCTTGTCGTCAGCCACGATCAATCCACTGCTGCATTAGCCACCCGAAACGTTACTTGGTTTTGCGATATAGCACGTGCTGATTTTGTCGCTTTATCACGGGCGAATTTCCCTCCCTTGACTGCCATTCCGATGTTAGTCTTGACCACTCTTCGTCATCCCTTGAAGCGATGTGTACTGCTCAAGCCCTTGGACCACCAACACATTCTTGTCTTGGTGGTCAACAGAAATATATTGTGAATGCTTGCCAGGTTTAGGGGCACACGCACTTAATCGTCTGTCTTATAGGCAGGGTTGGTGGGTCACGCACAGATGGAGCCTGAGTAACACATCTACTGTAGTCGTATTGTGCTTTCATAATAATAATAATAAACTCAGTTTTCCAGAGCGCTATTCGCACAAAGAGCTTGTATGCTATGCACTGACCGCTGACCTCTTGCAAAAAAACCCCAAAATTGAGCCAACTTGCCAAACATCTTGAAGCACAACCCACCTGAAAAAAAAATATTGATACTTAATTCGGCTTTCCTGGGTAAATAAACCACATTCTTGCAAAAAAATAATTCAGTGGCTTGGTACGATGTGTACATGGTAAAGTAACAATAGTATTAACCTAAATCCCATGAGGTGCAAAGCGCTATTCATGATTCTCAACAAATCCTAATATGTTGAGCTAACCATAAACAAAATGGTTAATAAACAATGCTAATTCTAATCTGTAACATCTGTTTTGACATTAATGCATTCTAAATGCATCCTGTGTTCTCCCTCCTCTGGCTTTATCGGCAATACTTAGGCCCACATTGTTTTCCACAGTCCCAAAGTAATTATATTTAATTAGGGGCACCTCTCTGAGCACAGGCAGCGGTGCACAAACATTGGCAAGTTTAATGGCCACTGCGAAAGAACGCCTCTTATTACCAAAGTAACGGAGAGACAGATAAGCTTTTAAAAAGGCGAGAGCAGTGATCGACGTTTGCATTTAGAATTATTGTTAAAGCCCTCGTGGTCTTCGTGATGTCACGCTGCGGGTGAACGTGGCTGCACAAAAGTCACGCCTCAGTGACCAATACAAGAACAATGTGTTGGCCATCAGCAGCGGTAGCAGCAGCGGCAGCAGCGGCCTCCCTGGCCAGAGCTGTTGGGGCAGGCGTCTCAGCTTGATGTTGCTTTTTTTCTTCTTCCATTAAACACATCCATGGCTTGAAGCGCATTGAGATTTCACGTGAGCAGACGCCACTGCGTTTTGTCCAGTGGCGTTCACAGTTAATATCGCAATGCTTAGGCGGTGACTGCTATTTATACCTGCTATTCCATTCCCCTCTCTTTACTTTATTTTCATATCGTTGCCAAGATCATAGCTGTTGACCCGCCCATACTGGGCATCTGTGAAAAAGAGCTTTATAGCTCATCAGATTCCTCCTCCTGCAGTCTAAATATAGATTGTGATTCTGTCGGCTGCTGCTGTCTTTTATTCCGGTCAGCTGGAAAGTTAGTTTCGTGGTTATTTGCCTTTAAAAAAAATGTTGTTGGGCACAGGCTCAAAGGCCCAATAATAACAAGCAGCCAGTAGCAATCAGCACCATCAAAAGTTGGAATGGATATATATCAGAGTTTCTTGCATTGAGCAAGATTATTATTATTGTAAGGGATTTGGAGAAGAGACGATGGGAGGGAAGTCCCAAAGTGGAGCAGTGGGAGGCAAAGAAGCAGGATGGGAAGCATCGTGACCTGCAGGTTGTCGGTTGAACACCGTGTGGATGAGAAGAAAAAGTAGTAGTCTTCAGCTACTTCAACGTCAACCAAATGTAAAGTTAACCTGATTGCTAAATTCAACCTCCTGTCAAAAAAGAAGCCAGAGCCACACATAAAAAAAGTTAGATGTTTACAAGATTGTTATCAATCACAGTAACAGCCCAATTTCCGACAGCCTAAAATCGGTACTAGCTAAACGGTTGAATTTCGCAGTCACCCCTAAACACATCCCAGTGGATGATATCATTGCCCAGGTAGACGTAGCCCTCAAAGGTTTGGGACACATCCCGGCAGATGTTGCAAGATATGAAATCGCTGCTATCCTCAAAAACGCTAAGAAGCTCATTAGCAACATCAGCAAGGACGAGCATTTTGAACTCGCTCAAATGAAAAAGAGAGATGACATTGTCATCTCAGCCGACAAGGGCAATGCCACGGTCATCATGGATAAAACCACTTACAACAACAACATTCAGGACCTTCTTATGATGGCAGCTATACCAAAATTAATAGAGATCCTACCACCCGCCTGGCCACAAAAAACAACAATATCATCACTAATTCGACTTCTCTAATCGAACCGACCAAGCAGCTCTCTCTAAAGCCCTCAGCTGCTAGACCACCCAGATTTTATGGCCTTCCAAAAATCCATAAAAAGGTTGCCTGCTCCATCCTATCGTCTCGACCATTAACTCACCAACCTACAAACTGGCCCAATTTCTGTTTGAGACCCGGCTTCCTTTCACGGGCAAGACCACCTCTGCTGTACTTAACTCAGCTCACTTGGTTTCTCTAATCAAGGACATCACAATGTCTCCAGATGATTTGCTTGTCAGATTCGATGTAGTCTCTCTGTTCACCAAGGTACCTGTGCCTGACACGATTGCAATCATTGAAGACTTGGTCCAACAGGGACTGAATCCTGATGTACCAACTTTGGTGAGGCACTGCCTTACCACCACTTACTTCACCTGGAATGGTACATTCTACAAACAAAATGGAGGTACCCCTATGGGTTCTCCCTTATCACCAGTGGTAGCGAATGTTTTCATGGAGAAATTTGAGATACATGCCAACCACATCAATTCCATACACCCATCTATCAAATTCACCATGAAAGTGGAAAATGATGGCAAGCTACCATTCCTGGATGTTTTGATCGAGAAGAGACCTGATGGCTCGTTGTGACATTGTCTACAGGAAAGCCACCCACACGGATTCCTATCTAAAGCCTGATTCCCACCACCATCCAGCCCAGAAGAATTCCCTCATGAAAACACGACACCACTTAACCAGTGAACTGGAACACGTACGCCAAGCCCTCAAGATGATTGTATATTTGGACCGCACAATCCGCAAAGCTATATCCCCAACCATGGGTAAAGAACCATCTGAGGACCCAATCAAAACCATCACCTTGCCATACATAGCAGGGGTTACCAAAAAAAAATTCCAAAATCTTGAACAAACACAAGATACAGGTTCGATTCAACACAGTACACAAAATCCGTGACCTGATCCCATCTGTGAAAGATGTGATTCCTGACATGCAATACCCTGGTGTCTACAAACTAAGTTGTGTCTGCGGTAGCAGTTACATTGGGGAAACGAAACGACGTCTCGGACCGCGTTCGCGAACACAAAGCAGATTTGAAACACGACAGAACCAATACCTCTGCCGTGGTTGATCACTGCTTGAACGCGGTGGGCTCACACGACATTGTTTTTCCGAGACCAAGGTACTCTGCAAACCTTCGGGCTACCGTCAAAGATTTGTTCATGAAGCCATCCATATATATAAAAACAGACATAACTTCAACCGAGAAGATGGGTACAAATTTAGCAATCATTGGAAGGACGTTATTAACCAGGTAAATCCTTCACTGGTTGTTGATGTTTCCATCCTACCTGCCATTGTCAACAGTTATTTCTGACTCTCTGAGTTACATTACCAAGTTAAATGTCTTTACATTAATGGGCTCAATCTCTCACTAACAAAGCCAATGTTGCCCATTTCCCTCGATGGTGGCTCTCGTTTTTTAGCAGACTTCAACTGGCTGTGATGTTGTTGTGTGCGTGTCTCTCTCTGTGTGTGTCTTTGTGTGTGAATGTCTCTCGGTTTGTGTGTGTCTCTATCTCTCTCTGTGTCTCCCTGCATGTCTCTCTTTGTTTGTCTCTCTATATGTCGCTCTCTCTTTGTGTGTCTCTCTGTGTGTGTCTCTCCCTGTGTGTGTGTGTGTCTCTCGGTTTGTGTGTGTCTCTCTCTCTCTCTGTGTCTCCCTGTATGTCTCTCTCTTTGTGTCTCTTTGTGTGTATGTGTGTGTCTCTCTCTGTTTGTCACTTTGTGTGTGTGTCTCTCTCTCTTTGTATGGGTGTGTGTCTCTCTCTGGGTGTGTCCCTCTGTGTGTGTCTCTGTGTGTGTCTCTCTATATGTGTGTCTCTCTCTCATTGTGTGTCTCTGTGTGTGTCTCTCCCTGTGTGTGTGTGTGTACCTCTCGGTGTGTGTCTCTCTCTCTCTCCTTCCCTCGATGTGATGTTGTACATGCTCATCTCTCACAACACAATGGCCACGTCCTCAGCTCGTCGTCGTCGTTGAGGTCATCCTCCCTTCCCCCCCTATCTCTATTCCCATCTTAGGCACATCTCTAGCCCCCACCCTCTTGCCAGATGCGGCAACCCCTCCCCTCCCCCCTTCTCGGCTCTATATATGAGGACTTGTTTCAGCAGCCTGTCTCTCTCTCTCACCTGATGACGGTTGCTTGTGTGGCGATCGAAACGTCGTGATCTATTGTTTTTTCTACCTACGTGACTTTACCGAAAAAACTAAATAGTAAGAAGAAGTAGTATCTGTTTTTGTTGTTGAAAATACAACAACAACAACAACAAAAGAGGGCCGGGGGTTGTGGGGGTAGATTTGAGTGACGGGGGTGGCGATTAGCAACTGTGCTTAACACGGTATAATCTTCAACGATGGGATGGTCATGTTCACGATATTGTGTGTTATGATATTGTGTGTTATGATATTGTGTGTTATGATATTGTGTGTTATGATATTGTGTGTTATGATATTGTGTGTTATGATATTGTGTGTTATGATATTGTGTGTTATGATATTGTGTGTTATGATATTGTGTGTTATGATATTGTGTGTTACGATATTTCACAATTATATAGCGTTGCTTCCCTGTACTTGAATCGCATCGTGACTGAATACACCTTAAACGATGTCCAACGGTAGTCCGCTCAAAAGAACATTCACGGGATAGGCGTTCATCCCCAGTTTACAAGCAGTCTGGAAATTCTACATTGCTATGGTGGTGGCAAGTCTAACCCAGAGGGGGGGGGGGTGAGAAAAAAACACATCCCCCAATGCAACCTTACTCACGGGCCCAAACGTACGTGTTTGCACAGAGCGGGGTTGTCCATGCAGAGCCACTGGTCATTGTGTGGGGCTGGCGAGATTGAGCCGTGGAGTGTGGCGGCTCTGCCTAATTTGAATGAGGACCTCGTCCTCCTCCCTCCTCGTCCTCCTGCGGGCCCGTACGCTTTGTTCCCCGGCGCTTGTGTTCCCACAAACGTCTGGGAGCCGTGACCCCGTGGGCTGAGCCCTGTGGAGCACAAAGGAAACCTGGGTGAGAAAGAACGACCTTCACTTTGTGCTGACGAATCTGTCTCCGTGTTCAATTATTGGCTATTTTCCTTTCTAAAGCGACCGGCAATGAGGGTTAATATTCACCAAGCACAACGCGCCTCGGTGCGGAATTTGCACTTCAATATTAGCGGCGAATAGAATACAATACAAATAAACGTGTTTTGGAGTTAATGTCACAGCGATTTCCTGCTCAAATGACACCAGAAACAGTGCTTGTATCCAGTTTACATCCTTGAAGCCAGCGGTGGAAATTCCACATTCATATGACGTGGGCGAGTCTATCCGTATAAATAGAACACTGTCGACTTGCCCACAACGTGGTACTCTCTTTATCGACCCCAGACGAATGATGGGCTGAGTCATTCCTTAACCTGAATGTAAACTCACAATCATCAACATTACTTTATGTCGATGAGCATAGATGCAGTGACAGTAAAATCTGTGTTTGTGGGTTGGACCGCGTGTTGTTCGGCAATGTCTGATGTTTCACTCCTCGTGGTGTTGTACTGTACGTCGTTTTTGTTATCAATGACAACTGCCTGCTGTGCCATATATGGTTCAGAAACACGGTCATTATTGACAAAAGCTGAAAAGAGGTCAAAGAAGCGTTATAGAGATGCACGGTTGGAATTTCAATGAGAAAACAGAGAGAGAATACATGGATTTAAAAAAAACATACGCATGTTAATGACATCGCTCAAACTGTTAAGAAAACTAAGTTTGTTTGTGGGAGGACTCATGGTAAGAAGGGATGATGGCCGTTGAGCAAGACTTGTTGATGGAATGGCAGTCAAGAGAGAAAATGCACTGTGAAGATGGAGCGGTAATATCAGTTTTTGTGCCGTAGTGAGATGGACTGTGGGGATGGTGGGATGAGCAAGGATCACAACAGCGTAGTCATGCCTTGAACCAGTAGTGAATAGACCATTGCTGACGAATGTCAATGATAATCATTGGTGTTCACGTATGTCATTGCGAGAAGGGTGCGGTGATGGCCTTTGGTGAAGAATAACAGCCGAGCAATGGAACGTGCCGGAGGGGAGATGGAGCGATGTGATCGGCTGGTGTGCAGGTGCTCATCGGATCGTTACATTGCAGGATCGTGAGACTTGACGGCAGCTTGGAGAAGCCTCGATCCGGCAGGGGAATGATCATGGATGATGATGATGATGATGATAACGACGACGACGACGGTGATTGGTCCGCGCGTCACCCGTTTAAATCCCGCTCGGCCCCAGACACGCCACGAGACCTGGGGGGCATCCCGGACGGCGAGGTGACCACCATCGAGGTGGCGCGCGCCAACCCCTACATGGAGCTGGGCATCAGCGTGGTGGGCGGCTGCGAGACGCCGCTCATCACCGTGGTCATCCAGGACGTGTTCCGCGAGGGGGCCATCGCGCTGGACGGCCGCCTCCTCCCCGGGGACCAGATCCTGCAGGTGCGACCCCGCGAACGAGCTCGGGGATCGAGCTAACCGGGAACTCGCGTGCACCGGCTCTGTCCGTGAACGGGCAACGTATATCCACAGCTGGCACTAGACATCCAGTCGAGCTGCTTTTTGTGTTAAGTTTGTTGTCATTCCCCCCCCCCCCCCCCCCCACGATTTGCACGGTTGGCTACGCGCGGTGCGAAATCAGTTCAACGTGCACGCATAGCAGTCTGCCCGTGCCTACTGCGACCTGCCAGCAAATTGGACAATGTCCACAACATGCTCACCACATGCAGTCTACCTTTCGCTGTGGCTTTGGCTGCGACGAGTCATGTGCTGCCTACTCCTGTCAGCCAGAGAAACGGAAAACATTCCCGCGCCTGTCACACTGCACACAGCACTCCCCGAGGCGACCTTTGGTGTGTGACGGTGGGTAATAGTCACCCGTTGACTGGGACGTCGATTCATTGATTGAAATCGATTCCACACTCGAGAAAAGCGCATCAATTTTCGCATGTAGAAGAATTTATCATTTACACAAATGGCAGCTTCACGTGGGGTGAAGAGTGGGTACGTACTCCAAGCTATTCCAAGTCGTCGCGCCTGTGTGGAACAGTTGGCCAACAACCCTCGAGACGGGGCAAGAACTGGTTTGAAAGCCTTGTCAAACCGACGTCGTCGGGGCCAATGCTAACCACCGCGCCACCGCTTCAAGTGCTAACATATACATCGATAATATTAGCACGCATTCATTCGTACGGCAATGTCGCACGGCGTCGCCCGCCCCACCCTTTCCCCCCACCCCCCCCCCCAACGCCGCCCGCGCAGGTGAACGGCGTGGACATCAGCAACGTGTCGCACAACTCGGCGCGTGCGGCACTCGCTCGCCCGTGCCCCTCGCTCCGCCTCACCGTGCTGCGGGAGCGCCGCTACGGCACGTCCGGCACGCGCGCCGCGCCGCAGCCTCCGCCGGCGCAGCAGCTCCAGCCGGCGGCCGGCCAGCCCGCCCCGCCGCCCGGCACGGCCGCCCCCCCGCAGCAGCACGTGCAGGGCTCCCAGCGCACGGCGCCGGCGGCGGCGACGGCGTCGCAGCAGCCGGGTTCGGACGGGGGGCCACCGGCGTCGGCGGCGGCGCCGAGGGGACCTCGCTGCCAGGGGGGGCACCCGCCTCCTCCTCCTCCTCCGCCACCGCCGGGGCCGCCGCCGGGGCCGCCGCCGGGGCCGCCGAGCGCCGAAGGGCCGGAAAGCGCCGCGGCGGCCGGCGGTGCGGGCGCCACGGACGACAGTTTCCACGTGGTGTTACACAAGCGGGGCGGCTCGGGGCGCGAGCAGCTCGGCATCAAGGTGAGGTCTCGCGGCGGCAGAGCGTCGCCGGCCGCTCGCAAAGTGGCGAGATGTTAACTGCCTCGCCGGGTGTACAGGGGGTCGTGGGTCGATCCTGACCCTGACGACGCCTCTTTATTTCGATTTTGCGTGTCTCTCTCTCTCTCTCTCTGTGTCCGTGGTTGGTTGCATGGATTTTTCTCAGGGTCCTTCAGTTTCCCCCCTCCACATTCAGAATCAACGTCACGCGTTCGGAGTATTTGGCTGCTTCGAATGTCACTTGGGCGAGCCATCGTTTGCGGCCAGGTGGCTTCTGGAAAAAAAAGAGCTCTCTATGGGCTCAGTGGGCCTCACACCTGGTCAAAATAAAAAATAGCAGACGTAGGAGCGCTCCAAAAAACGCCGAGTGCGGTTCTCCCGGCCGGGCTGCTCGCCGAGCGTTTCTGCTCTCGGGCTATCGCGTCACACAACTACCGCGGGCGAGGTCAGCTGTTTGAAACATCATTCAACTCCTGGAGGGGAGTTGACACCGATTTCAATTGACGGATCGGTGCATTGTAAATGTCTTCGAGAATGCTATTTAGAGGAATGCTATTTCACCCCGACGCCATACATGTACGTACATTTCCCTGAGGTTAATTATACCACTGATTGTAGAAGGGCCTCCACGAGATGGAGTTCTAGAGTGCCCCTTTGGCTGAGTATTTTAACCCCGATTCTTCCACACGGGCTGGACGTGTTGCATAGGGGCGGGATTATCTACACCTTATCCCACAACGCCATGCTTGGAACTGTTGAACCGGCAGCCTTTGAAGTCTGGTGCGCTGACCATTACCAAAGCAGCATCCAGATGTCCACTTCTAGTCGTAATTATAAGTTACGGAAACTCACTATATGAAAGGACATGCATTGTGTTTAGAAACTCGGGCATATGTTTTTTTTTTATTTGGCTGATATGAAGGTTTAAGGCTGCTCTCTGCAGTGTCCCTTGGTCTGGGACTTTTGTTGTTGTTGTTGTTGTTTTTCTGGCTTGCCCAAGCATATATCTTTGTTGAACTTCTTTCACACCGTACATAGTCCACTGTGCTAATCGGAGGTGTGGGTGGAAGGACAACAAACTAAACACAAATAGCAGTTTCTAAAGAAATTAGTTTTCATTCTAGATAATAAAAAAGAAGCTTACATTAAAGCGTTGACAAACCGGCAGGTATGTGTTTACCTGTGCAAATTGTACATCTAGACTTTACGTATTTATCCGCAGCGACTTGCTTACCTTCTTGTCTATCTTGCTCTTATAGAATTGTTTGCATCGTTTGTTGATGCAAACACACTGACCACCGTGCCCCTACTGGACATCTGTGGGGGGGTAAAGAAACAATCTTCGTAGGTCATCGGATTCCTCCAGCCCAAAGAAAGCATTCCAATTGTGATATCTCGAGAAGCAAGCACATGAGCGACGCTGCCTTCGCTGCATTGTGGCCCAGAGGGGCTCGCGCAGCTCACAAAGTTTGAACGCTTTAACAACGCGAAGTTTTGCCCCGGCCGTTGTCGCACGATGAAAATCTCATCAAATGAAATATAATTGAAAAGTCCAAAATGATTTGGGCGACGCACACCCCTGAGAGAAGCTGCCCTGGGCTCGGGGTGCCAACGCCATGGTGCCCGGTGCGCGCGGCAAGGGGGCGGGAGAATCAACGCGAGAGTGAACGATCGGCTCGCAAAACAAACGCTCGCATACGCAGCACCCCCACCTTGGCGCGCTTAACCACTTGCAGTGCGCGCCGTGGCGTGAGCGGGCGACACCGTCACGTGTGTCGAAGTTGCCGTCTCATTGAACGTGCGTGTGTAATAGTAGCACTGTAGTAATAGTCAATCAATAACAACAGGTCCGTTATGTTAAACGTAATGACGGGGTGGGTGGCTCAGAGGTCAGAGCGCACAACCGGTTTCCCGCTGGGCTCCTGTGATCATTGAAGCCTGGTTGCCAGCAGAGTTTAATCCGGGTGTGAGTCTGTGGTCTCAGCCCTGTTGCCGGTGATTGCGCAAAATGCCAAAAAATATAGAGCATCAAATTTGGTTCTGCACTGCATTGGGGTGAATTCCAGCTCTTTGGGAATTCAAAATATGGGATTGTCAAGACACGAACACTCTTCTCACATGGCAGGGCGGGTATTGGTCTCTGCACAGTTCAGAACACGTCACTTGAAGGGATCTCAGAGGTAGCCCTGTCATATCCACTTCCGTGGGCCCTTCTCTCACACAAAGGGTTGCACTGCTCTTCTTTGGAGCAACTCACATCTCAGGCTATCCAGGGTATCAGTTGACGCATATGCATGACAACCACTCTGATGGCAACCGGGATAAAACTGTCAAATATAAATTTTAAATAACTTTTTTTTTCCTGGCAGTGAGAGGGAGAAAATATTTTGGTATTTTGGCATTTGGGCCAGATATAGTGTTTTACAGAGGAAGCGTTTTCGATATACATAACTGAAGAGGGTAGCGTTGGGTAGCTGGTGATGTCAGACTCGTTGGAGAATGGATATCCTTTTCGAATGCCATTCTCGAAACAAACGTTAAGAACGGAATGTGAGTAAAACATTTTGAAGGCAGAAAACAACATACATGTTCCATTTCAACAGAATCACGGTTAACCACGCACCGGTGACACACTCGTTACGAAAATGTGTTTACACATGGTCTTAAGAAATCGGTCGTTAGCTGTAAAAGGAGCGAGTGGTTCGCAAGCAGAAGGTCACGAGTTGAAATCGTGACTCAACCCATCATCCCTCTGGGGTCGATAAAATGGATTTCCGTCCTTTGAAAAAAAAACAAGTCGCCCTCGCCATAGCAATGTGTAATCTTGTTGTATGTGGAGGGTCTTACAATATTTACGTATTATTTTTCTTGCAAGCTCGTGTCTAAGGGTTTTCTTACATTAATTATAAGACCTTCTCCACAATGGTCACCAGGTTCATAGATCCGCCCAGCAGTGCAGGCTTTTTCAAGCAAAATGACTCATGAAACAGAAATAAACCACTCGGACATTCAGTACACTACAAATCTGAGTATTTAATGGACCAAAGCATCAACTAGTGTCATAATCACGTCAACTCTGCACCATTATTCTTCTACAGTGTACACGAAAAACACGCAACCGATCGACGCAACCGTACGAACCAATGTATGATAAATAAAAATATGTCTAGGTGGATAATCAGCTAACGTATGAGCCCTCTAAAGTGTACTTCCCCCCCCCCCCACCCCCTTTTGAGTGACGCGATTAAGTGATGTAATAATTGTAAAAGATCTGTTACAACAACAAGGTAATCGCTAGATGCGCCGTCCATGAGCGAGCACCCACACCTCCCGTCAGTCTCTCGCCCCTCTTGGCTTGCAAGCACCGAGACAGTCCGGCGGCTGTCCACGCCTCTGCATTCACCGTCTCAAGGCTGCCAGCGAGGATGCATTTCGCTCCTTCGGTGCGTGCGCGCGCGTGCTGCACGGGAGCCCCAACCGCCCATGAGGCTCGAAGTCGACCGCTGGTCGTGCCCTCGCTGGCGTACACGGCAGATGCCCGTCACTCCGGCCGGCAGGGCCCCTCGGGGTGTCTCCGGTGTCGGGCACCAAGGTTCCTGCACCACTTTGACCTTTCACCTCTCAGGCGATGAGTCAGACTCGTACGTGCGTCTTGTGTCAGACTCACAAAATCAGAGACTAATAGATTACGCACTCATGCCATGCGTAACAATGTGCCCACGTACAGAGAGGGAAAAAAAGTATTTGATCCCCTGCTGATTTTGTACGTTTGCCCACTGACAAAGAAATTATCAGTCTATAATTTTAATGGTAGGTTTATTTGAACAGTGAGAGACAGAATAACAACAACAAAATCCAGAAAAACGCATGTAAAAAATGTTATAAATTGATTTGCATTTTAATGAGGGAAATAAGTATTTGACCCCTCTGCAAAACATGACTTAGTACTTGGTGGCAAAGCCCTTGTTGGCAATCACAGAGGTCAGACGTTTCTTGTAGTTGGCCACCAGGTTTGCACACATCTCAGGAGGGATTTTGTCCCACTCCTCTTTGCAGATCTTCTCCAAGTCATTAAGGTTTCGAGGCTGACGTTTGGCAACTCGAACCTTCAGCTCCCTCCACAGATTTTCTATGGGATTAAGGTCTACAGACTGGCTAGGCCACTCCAGTACCTTAATGTGCTTCTTCTTGAGCCACTCCTTTGTTGCCTTGGCCGTGTGTGTTGGGTCATTGTCATGCTGGAATACCCATCCACGACCCATTTTCAATGCCCTGGCTAAGGGAAGGAGGTTCTCACCCAAGATTTGACGGTACATGGCCCCGTCCATCGTCCCTTTGATGCGGTGAAGTTGTCCTGTCCCCTTAGCAGAAAAACACCCCCAAAGCATAATGTTTCCACCTCCATGTTTGACGGTGGGGATGGTGTTCTTGGGGTCATAGGCAGCATTCCTCCTCCTCCAAACATGGCGAGTTGAGTTGATGCCAAAGAGCTCCATTTTGGTCTCATCTGACCACAACACTTTCACCCAGTTGTCCTCTGAATCATTCAGATGTTCATTGGCAAACTTCAGATGGGTATGTATATGTGCTTTCTTGAGCAGGGGGACCTTGCGGGCGCTGCAGGATTTCAGTCCTTCACGGCGTAGTGTGTTACCAATTGTTTTCTTGGTGACTATGGTCCCAGCTGCCTTGAGATCATTGACAAGATCCTCCCGTGTAATTTTGGGCTGATTCCTCACCGTTCTCATGATCATTGCAACTCCACGAGGTGAGATTTTGCATGGAGCCCCAGGCCGAGGGAGATTGACAGTTCTTTTGTGTTTCTTCCATTTGCGAATAATCGCACCAACTGGTGTCACCTTCTCACCAAGCTACTTGGCAATGGTCTTGTAGCCCACTCCAGCCTTTTGTAGGTCTATAATCTTGTCCCTGATATCCTTGTAGAGCTCTGTGGTCTTGGCCATGGTGGAGAGTTTAGAATCTGATTGATTGCTTCTGTGAACAGGTATCTTTTATACAGGTAACAAGCTGAGATTAGGAGCACTCCCTTTAAGAGTGTGCTCCTAGTCTCAGTTCGTTACCTGTATAAAAGACACCTGGGAGCCAGAAATCTTTCTGATTGAGAGGGGGTCAAATACTTATTTCCCTCATGAAAATGCAAATCAATTTAAAACATTTTTGACATGCGTTTTTCTGGATTTTTTTGTTGTTATTCTGTCTGTCACTGTTCAAATAAACCTACCATTAAAATTATAGACTGATCATTTCTTTGTCAGTGGGATCAAATACTTTTTTCCCTCACTGTATATGTGTTGCACTCCTTAACAGATATATCAAAACCAACCCACATTAGCAACTATAGAAAAATATGCAAACTCTATGATATAGCCTTAGCCTTAGCAAAATATGGAAACGCACTGGCGTTAGCACGAAAAAGTTCTCCAATAACTTAACAGTATACACAAAGTCTGTGCACCACGCAACAGACCGAACAATTTATCAAAGAAACAATAATTCTACAGTAACATATCACAACAATAATATTGTTGTCAGTGGGTCCTCTTCGTGAGGTAGCCACTGGGAGCCCCATGCCCTTCGCATAGACGGACTTGAGAACGTAGAGTTAAATATTAAAAATGTAAATTTCAAACCTTGAAATCACGCCGCTTCTCATCGATATTAATTACCGTTAATGCAACCAGACCGTGGGACGATGTAGAACCTAAGAATTTAGACTAGGAGGCCGGATGTTATATCCATGTATGGCGTTTGCTACTCCTTGCAAGGACCAACATTTTAACAAACTTAATTCGGACAAAGGGCCGATGCCTCGTGAAGGTTTCAGGTGCGATATCACTTATTTATATATATGTGGGCGTGAGAATGGAAGCCTCCCTTTCTAGACCGTAACTCTGCTGATAGGAACGATGGCCCTGTCTTAATGAGCTCAACATATATGTAGTATAAACGAGAGCAACTCAAAGGCAGTTGTGATGAACACTTACAAATATAATATTAATCACGTATTCATTACCATGAAGGGGTACACACCCAACATTCTAACGGACTGCATCTCTGATCGTGTGAATGGAGCTGTGAGGAATGCAAACTGCTGTTTTTACCCCCCCGTAAATGTAAAACAGCAAACGTCTCACACATTCCTCTCCAGTATAAATTAGACTAATTTCTCTGTAAACATAAGCAATGCCTGAAAATAAACATTTGGCAAAACACAAATCTACTTTTGCCTTCTTCTCATTGACAGTAAAAAAATGAAACCCTATTATTTATTTTATTATAATCTCTACAGCGTACAAGCAGAAGAGTGCTTATTTTTAGGAAATCTATCTCTTACTCCTCTATCCGCACCGTTAAAACTCAACGATATCCTCTTCTCCGCTGCCGGTTAATTTGTGGATGGCATCTTGTAAGTGAGCACAAACACACGCAATCGATACCATTCTTTGCTTGTGATTTAAGTCCCGGGGTTAGGGTTCGGCTTCGCAGTTACTCAACAATCAAATTCAGCCCTTCGTGTCAAGAGGCATCATCGCAGATGCGCTGGATGATTGTAACAAAACAATCATGAACAAACCCTTTGTCAGTTCACTGCCGGACGAAGCCCTCGCCATGCTGTGTTGGTTGTGGGGCTTGTTTGACCAATATTTCGCCAGGCTGGTCAGTGCCTCGAACCCAACGTGACGGTTCGAGGCAGATAAGCACCTGTGTAAGTTCCACCAATATTTGTAATCCCGTTGATTAAAGATGCGTTTTTCAAAAAAAAGGTCCCAGTGCTCATCTCCTGTTTACAGCCCTTAGCCAGCGGTGGAAATTCCATATTACTGTGGCGAGGGTGAGTGTGTCCACACAGTGGAACTCATTGTATTGACCGTGAAGAGATGATGGGTTGATTCAAGACTTAGGCTCGCAAATTTTCAGATTGCGATCCGCTCGCGCCTTTAAAATGTGACCGATTCACAAGCCCATGTATAAATACAATTTCATAACGAATGTGAAAGACGCATGGTTAACTGTGATTTTGTTAAATGAAATCCATGCGTTTCCAATAAAGGCTTTCTTTGCAAAATGTCGGCACTGATGATTTGTGGAAACCAAATGGAAATGGGTTCCACGTGCATTACATATGCATTTTTGATCACGTCCAGCAAAACCTTGTCCATTCTGGTTAATTCAACTGTGCGGTAATTCTACGTATTTTATTGTATATTCACTTCAATTCTGCTTTAATGCATTTGACCGTTGGAGCTAAGTATTGTTATTAAGACGTCATGTCGTATGTAATTGTGCAAATCGGCAGACACACTCCAGGCTCGCAACAACGTTGGGCAGTCTGATTTATTTGACACTGAGCAGAGGTGAAATGGAGAAAATGGCCAAATTTGCCGAGACACAAAGTATGGGGCGCATGGGCAATACTTTGTGCCTCCTGAAGAACGCGCTCGAGTGATGATTATGGGGAGCCACGCGTGGTTCTGTTTGCTGTCCGAGCACCATCTCGGTTTATTTCCTTGGCCGTACAAATTATCCCATTTTTAATTTTCCGATTTCCAATTTAAAAAGCCGTCACTGTTAATGATTTCTGCGAGGGTCTTAAATAACGCGCGAAGCTTCCCGGATGAATTGAGAATAACAAGCGCCCTAAAGAGAGAGTTCAATTCCACCGCCAACACATCCAATTTCCAACAATTTCCAACAGCGAGGGTCAAGTCAGCTGCGAACAAGCAGGCAAACGCTGCTGCCTTTGCATTTACTGCGAACAGGCTGGGGAGAAAGACACAAGTGGAAGCTTGACTTAAACCACCCACGCTGCTCTAAGTCGAGCTGTGTTGGCAGATTCATTTTTTTTTTACCCTGCATGTGTTGGCGTTTTTTTTCTTCTTCGACCCATTGTACTCAGAAATGCAGAGATAAGAAATTGGATTTTTTTTTCCTGCTGGGGAAGGCAACGAGCGAATCTTAGATGCGTTTACACCGAGCGGGCTGAGGTTTGACTCCATTTGATTCGTCGGAGTATTTCACCCCGAAAATAGGAACATAGAATAATCAGTAGGGAAGCTGCTTGTTATGAAATGGCCAGCACACCGGACTTGCAATTCAGAATCAGGATCTTAATTTAGACTGGAGGAGGAATCCGAAAAGCTATGAAGCTCTTTTTCTCAAATATCCAGTGTGGGCAGGTCAGCAAGTTCCAACAGCAATAAATATAAATAACGATAGGAATGCAAAAACAGTAAAAATAGTAAGCAAGTGACTAAATATGAATAATATAACATTATTACTTAAGTTAGATTAATCAATTCAGAGATTGCCGCTTCCATTTGATCTCCAGGCGTGGCAGTTGAGACAACGGTGCACATTTCTGAAATCCTGCCGCCTTTGTCCACGGAGCACTGTGAATGAATTCGCCACAGTTAGTTGATTGGTCGCACGTGGCGGGGTAAAGTGTGGGTACTCACACCTCTTCCGAGACGTCTGTGCCAGTGTTGAACAATCGGCTAAATGCCCCGCTATAGAAGGGCTCTCGAGTATGCACGTTGAACTTCTTTCGCACCACGCGTAGACAACCGCGCTAATTTGGGGGTGCGGGTCAAGGACAACAAACTAAGCACAAACATGAGCTCTGAAGAAAGCGAGTTTTCAATCTACATTCAAAAGTGCATGGCTCCAGTGGCTTCCTAATATCGGAAAAAGAGCAAAAGACTCTCGTCTCGTCGGAGACCCTTCTGCTCGGAGCGGCGTGAGTAAGCAATCGCAGCGCTGCGCCTTTGCCCTTTAAGAAAACCGTCGGACGCGAGGCTGTGAAATCAGCACGGACGAGGGTCGACGGCCCGCCAGTTCGCGGACGACGCGATGAAACAAGGGCCCAGCGGAGCGAGGGGCACGGCTTGCGGGTCCCACTCCCCCAAAGACAAAGACCCCCCCGTGTAGCCTGTAACAGACTGTCGGGGCAAGTGCTGTTAGCGAGCACCTATAAATGCCGGCACGGCACACGAGGGGGTGGGTGGCCAACACCAAGCCCGGCCGCCTTTGTCTCCCCAGTGGCGATGTTTACACAGCGCACCAGGTACTCATTTGAGGCAGAGTCGACCCAGGGGAGACCCAGGACCGGTTCAGACGATCGTCACCGGCGTTGGCCGTGAGCGGGAATCGAACCCGGGTCGCCGTGTTCGTAGCGCAGTGTAGCGCTGACCGCTGCACCACCGCTCCCCACCTCCTCTTGCACTCGCGCGAGCCCCGCTCTTCGTGTCCCCGGCAGCTCGTGCGTTGCGGCGACGACTCGGGGGTCTTCGTCCTGGACCTGCTGGAGGGAGGCCCGGCCGCCGTCGACGGGAGGCTCAGGCCCAGCGACCGCGTGCTCTCCATCAACGGGCACGACCTGCGGCAGGGCACTCCCGAGATGGCGGCGCAGGTCATACAGGTGCGGCCACGTCCATCCCGCCACCTAAGGTGGAAAACATGCTAGCTTCAGCTCCATCCGGCTGTCTGTCCGTCGTTGCACGATCGCCTGCGCCGTGACGTAGCTGCAGCGCCGGCTCCCAGCTTGCACTGCGCAGTGACGACCACGGAGATGCTCCTCGTCCCCCTTTTGCACAAAGCCAACGGCACGGTGAAGTGCATCTCATCAGCAGTCACGCAGCATGAGTCGCTTCGCAAATTAACACTTGACAACAGCCGACCAATGTTGGACAAATGTAAACCCATTGTTGACTTGACCTCGGCACGACCTTCAATTAATCACGTGCGGGCGTTTTTTTTTCTTTCAATGATCTTTTTTTTATGACGCTTAATTCATAATGCTTCAACTCGTTAACATCAGAGCGTGACCCGCAATAATTCAGAGCTGTGCCTGTCGTGCTTTTCGCGTTTGAACTTGGGGGGGGGGGAGGGCCGAGTGGCTTGCTGGCTGCAGTTCAAATCAAAGGCAGGGGAGGGCCGTGACAACGCGAGAGTTGTGCTTAGCATTTGCATTGTCTGCTTATTTAGAGCCTGCCAGCACTTGACAGGACAACAGCAACTCGGCATTCCATTGAGAGTGGCGAGCCCGGGTATGAGACTGGCATCTCAATGGGCAGGCATCCCCTAATTTTCCTTGGGGGGGGGGAAATAAAAAAAAACAGCACAAACCTCTCCGTTCCTCGCCTCTGCGAAGCATGTCCAACACCACTTCAGCGGCTCATTGTCACTGGGATAAAAAAAAATGAGGCCACAGCCACGTGCGCGCGTTAATTATGTATCGTGTAGCGCTCGCCGGCGTGCGTACGACACTCCGGCGGTGGTTAGGAAGCCGACGGGGTAGAGAGGGCTTCCACAGGACAAACAATATACGTTTGCTCGTTTGGACAGTCCGTCAGTAAGATTGACAATTAGAACCGCTTTTGGTATTTAGTCTGTCGTATCCCCCCCCCAGCAACCTCCGATTAGCACGGTTGGTCACGTAGGGTGCGAAAGAAGTTCAATTGACGTACATACGAGATAAATCCGCAAATTTAGCGTGAAAGTTTGATTCATATTTTATTATATTTCAGAGAGTTATAGCGCTGCCCCACCCCCCCCTCATTTAACACTGCTTAGCACATGTCCACACCGTGTACACAACACGTGTTGTATAACACCGTGTACACAACGCGTGTTAGTAGGTAATACAGAATATTTAGATTCCTATCTCTCAGTTCTCGATAGAATTCATCGTACAGCAAGTCAGGTTGATGATCCGGCACTCACTGATCCAATCGCCCGCTCACTGGCTGTCAGTCGCCTCCTTATCACTCCTCTCTTGCTGCTATCATGGTTCCCATTCCCGTGAACTTCACTCAATGATTCCTCCACCCAAAGTGTGTGGTCTACCAGACCGTTTCAACCCATCCATACTGTGTTCACCCACCGCATGAGGAAGCCACTGGAGCTATGCACTTTTAAATCTAGATTGAAAACTCATTTCTTTCGACCTGCTCTTTGTGTGTTAGTTTGTTGTCCTTCCCCTGCACCTCCCAATAGCACCGTTGGCTGCGTACGGTGCCAAAGAAGTTCAACGCACACGTGAAGAACACAACCTCGCTAAAAAAAAAACACTCAAGCAATTCATTAACTCTCCATTGACCGCAACATTAACAGCGCGGACACGGTCTGCTGCTGGGCCGCTCGGCATTCTTTTTTTTTTGGCGAGCCTTCGGAAACCAATGCTCGGTAGCCGAGGCGCGATTAATGAAAAGAGACATTTGGGGCTACGCCCACTTCAAACCTTTATAAACAGTTTGCCTTTAGAAGCTAACCCCCTGTTCCTGATGACGAGCGCTTGTGTTGCGATCGAAACGTCGCGGTTTTTTGTTATTTTCTTTGAGCCTATCTACGTGACTTTAACCGATAGACCCAAAATAATACAAATGAAAATAGGCGCAAAGGTGTGAGCGGCGGCGGTGGGGGGCTGTGCGCGGCACAGGGAAGCGAGGACCGCGTGCACATCGTGGTGTCGCGGCCGGGGAAGCCGGGGCCGCCGGGCCCTGGCGGCCAGGACGGACGGAGCCACGCCATCCCCGGAGCCGCCCACCCCAGCCCGCCCAAGCCCTGCCACTACCGGGTACCCGCACGGCGGCGCGCGAACAAACGCCAGCGGGCGGCAGCGGGCCAGGCGGCGCTTGGTAGCGGTGACGCGGCCGAGAGAGCGTTCGCCGCTCGTCGCGCGGGGTTTTGGCGGTTCAAACCCCGGCGGCCGCCCTGATTAACACTGACCGTGTAAAAAACAATACTGATTTAGAAGAGTAGGCCATTGCGTACCACCATCAGGGTCCAGATTTACCCAATTAGAAAAAATAACATCGCAAAAATGACTCAATTGGGATTACATACAAAAAGCAGCAGACTAATGCCCCATGTCATGCTTGCAAATACGACTATCCTGGCATCGTCGGTTTTCACGTGGTTGAGACAAAATAAACTGAACTTACACTTGTGCCACGCTAGGTGCAATTTAAGGCTGTTGCGTTAAGTGCTGCACAATTGTATTCTGGTATTTGTTCATTGTTGTACTTCCAGTGTGCATGAAGATTGCTTACAAGTTTGTCAGCAGCAGTTCGCTCAACATGTGCCTGCCAGGAGTCTTTCTAGCCATTACAATCTCTAAACGCCAATAACGTACACACTGTCAGTGAAAAAAAGATGAAATAAGTATAAGACCTACAAAACTGATGTCATATATATTTGCCAGGCTGTAGATTACTCAGAAGAAGAAAAAGCATTACCTTAATTGTTACACGATACATATTTGGTCGTAAATATTGTTGTGTTCTCCTCGATACCTTATAACTTCTACATAGTGCATATCATACGTGTGCAGGTGCTGGGTGGATTATTAATATCGCGGGATTGTGAGAGATGGCGATGGCTTGCTGATGGCATTGGTGATGTTGCTGAGGCAGCACAAGGGCGAGTGAGCTGCCATTTGTTTGCTGCGGATTTCGTGAAGAGCCCTCGTAGCACACCAGGACAAGTGTGCCTCGCTTCGCGGTCATCGTTACCGGGAACGCGCTACTTACCGCTGTCATAATGTTTTTTTTTTTTACGTGTGGTCATAGTTAAGGTGACACTGGTTATCATTCCTTGTGAACCAAGAATAAAAATTTTGACGTGACAGAATTCCTTCAGGTTTTAACAATCCACTTGTGCTGGGCCAGAGGAAGAGTATAAGTCTTTTTTTATAAGCTTGTAAAAAATACGATTATTAAGTTGGCTTTGGTGGCTCGAAGCATGGGACTTATCCATTGATCCAGCACCTCGTGGGCGCTGGCTTTGGCCATGGAGGGAGACAATTGGAAAAGGGAATGACGTCATTTTTTTCGGATTGGAAATCCCATGAGTGTGATGAGTTATGTGCCCTCGGCATTGTCTCTGACCAAAAAAAACTCTACAAATGTGCAGTTTGATTTGTTTGAAGTTATATCCAAGAGAAACATTATGCCGTGGTTTTGAGTGAGACAGAATTGGCCCATTCAAAGCAAGCCACTGACATTTCTTTGATTCTAGGAATTAAGAAGAGACATTATTTGAGAGATAGTTTCAGAATTAATTGAATTATATGAATAGACATTATTCTACTTTCTTCAACGGCTACCCTGCTCAGATGAGAAAAGAATACTACGAAAATAATGATAATTCTCTGTATGCTTTTTAAAGCCTCACCGAGGCAATGCTTTGTAATGAGAGCCCTTCTTGATATGTCTGGCCAGTTTCTTAAGTATTTCTACGTTAGTGGCAAAACAGACGTATTGTAGGGAATACAAACGTAATAATGGGCTCTGCACTGTCATCAATGGCTGCACACATACTTTCATCATATTTGTTTCTTTTCCAAAGCAAATCTATTCCATTTTGATTACCATGACCATCCTGTCTCCGTAAAAAAAGGCACGTGACAAGGTACTCCACTTGCTGTGTGACACAAGAGGCAATTCGAGTAATATCAGAAGTAGTTCGATGATCTCATATTCCAGAGGCTGCGTTTTCCGCGTGTGTGTGTGTGTGTGCGTGCATGTGTGCGTGTTTATGCAATTTCCGTGTGTGTTTATGCTCGTGCGGACGTGCATGCACGCTTCCATGAGGAAGCGCGTTTTTGTGTGCGAGAATGTGCATGCACACATATTCACGTGCGTGTGTGGGAAGCGGAAATGTAGCGGTTAACGCGCCGCGCTATGAACCTGGCGACCCGGGTTCGATTCCCGCTCACGGCCAACACCAGTGACGATTATCTGAACCGGTCCCGGGCCTCCCCTAGGTCGACTCATGCCTACAATGAGTACCTGGTGCGATGTGAGACAAAGGCGGCCAGGCGTGGTGTTGGCCACCCACCCCTCATGCGCCGTGCCGGCCTTCATAGGTGCTTGCTAACAGCACTAAATGGGGGATCTTTTTGTGCGCGTGTGCGCACTTGCGTGTGCCACCTACACGGCAGGAGCTGTCTCAAGCGGTGTCGTGCCAGGAGAAGGTGGTCACGGTGCGCAAGGAGGCGAGTGAGTCGCTGGGCATGACGGTGGCGGGCGGACTCGCCAGCCGCAGCGGGGAGCTGCCCATCTTCGTGACGAGCGTTCAGGGCCACGGCTGCCTGGGCAGGGACGGGCGCATCCACCGCGGTGAGCACCCCACCACCCATCCGACGCCAAGGCACGCATTCAAATGATCAGCATCATCAGCAGCCTTGCACAGTCCACCCCAGCCACCACCGTCACTCATGATCCTGATGGCGCCTGCACGTGAGCTAAATTTCACCGCAACATCTCCTCCTTGGACGCCCTCTCGGACGCATTCCATTGAAAATGGGCGCTTGAATATCACCCGCGCGACTTGGACCGGCTCTGAAAATTTCGGCACGGCTTGACTTTAGCAATAAAACTGATGATCAGCTTGTTTAATTATCAATTCGGGAACAATTGTTCGAAAGTGCATTTTTTATGATGCGTTTCTTTTAATGGGAAAATTTCATTGCAGACATGGGCTCTGTATACTTGCACCCTGTATCTGAAATTAAGGCTTGCCGGTTAGGCACCGGCCTTCAACACAAAGGACAATTGGCCTCTTTTAAGAAGGCCAGTTGGTCAGAAGGCCATTCTCTCCCTCTCAGTAATTCACAAGCAAACCAAGAGGATATTTTCCAATCTGCCTGGGAATTATTATGTCTGCCTTCTTGTCCGTCCATTCATCCCAAGATATTGCGTATATTTTCATGAAAACTACAAAATCAATGGCTACAATATTTTTTTACGCACAGCTCATCAACGCCATTATCCAGATCTCTAATAGTTTTTTGGGGGGGAAATTGTCGGCAGCAAAACAACTCTACCGACAAGTTTTTGACTTCACTTCGCAGTGTGACGGCATGACGCATTCCGCCGTCATTACCGCACTCTGGAGCACTTGTGCCACAGCGCACCACTTCCGCACCCAACATGTGCATCCGTTTGTGTGTACGGTTGAGCGTTTACGTGCGCACATCTCTCCTTTGTACGCTTGCATCGTGTGGCAAAATAGATCACTTAAGAGTGCTAGCCTGCCAGCTTGTTTTTTGTGACACCATCCCCATCTGTTTCCTGCCACTTTCCGCATGCCTCTGTTTTTCGCCTTGACCCTACCCCACTACCCCCCAATTCCTGTGATGGCTCTCATCCAGCTACTGTTAGGTTTTGATTAACCGCAGATACTAATAATATGCACTCAGCTCCTACCAATTAGTGCAGGCAAATGAGAGACTCATGCACAGAATATTATAACCAGCATATATATATGGCCAGTGCTCATCTTGGTTGGCAGCCCTGAGCCTGTGGTGGAAATTCGACATGACCATGGTTGAGGCCAGTCCTTTCCATACGATGAACGCTGCTGACTCCCTACAAAGTGGTAGGTATTTTATCAATCCCGAATGGATGATATGCAATCGCCGGCTGTGATTTAAACTCACAACTCTTCGATAGTGAGGCAAGTGGTCTTCAACACACCGCCACTTGTGGTTTTGTGGCCAGAGTGAAAGAGTCGCCCAAATAGCCTCATATTCGCTGTAATGAAGGCCCTTCTGCTAGTAGTGGCGTGAGCAATCAGTCGCAGACCTGCACCTTTACCTTTGTTATTATATACGTGAGAGTCTGGTGTACAAAACACACGGCAGTTACTGATGGATTGTGGTACACAATAGAAACAATCGTAATTCATGTACTAGTAAACTATTTACTAATTTGTCTATTGTAATATGTTCACAATACAATAACAAGTTTTTTCTTGCAGTAAAATGAATATATAATACATCAATGTATTATCATCTAATAATGAGTATGTCCTCTTGTGTATTTTCAAACCTTGTACTTTGGTAAATATTTTTTTTCCAATAGATTTGTAAGTGAGGGATATGTTCCTGATGTTTGGATGAATCCAGAAAATAAACAATCTGAATTCTGTGCTGATCCACTATACTCTGGGCTGCAGCTTGGGGGGGGGGGGGGGGGGGGGGGGGGGGTCAGACATTTGTGACGATGTGTGACGAGGGGGGGGGAGTTTGAGAAATGTGACGTCACATCAAAATGCGCAACTTTAAATAAAAATATAAGTGTTAAAACAACACTAATTGTTATAACAACACTCCTACAACATCAGAGTGCATCGCCACATTAAATACGCACTACAATGACAATAGTTTAAAGCGATTTGAAGCATGCTTTATTTTCAAAATGGAAATATGGTTTTGGGGGGGGGGGATCAAAAATCGTCCAAAATCGCGTGACGTCATTTATGGACGGCCCCTTACCTACAAACATGCATTGAGATTATTTAGATAATTTTGCTGCGATACATGTCCAAATGATGGGCCGCTTTGTTGAGCTATCATTTGTGGCCAGGTCGGTTCTGAAAAATAAGTGAAAACCTCAGTGGGCTTTGCCTGTAAGGATGGGGATGGTTTCGTTTTATTCAGATGTGTTTTGGATGATGTGTTTCCCTTTGTTTTACTTTGCACTACTATCATGTTTTTGAACTGTTTGTTGTTGTAACGTTTTTTCAGTTTCAGTTTATTTATTTTGGTATAGCCCTGTGAGCCATTCGGCTCTTGAACAAGAAAACATCTTAAAGTGACTATGTGTGACTGTGCAAACAGACAATCCAGGAAAAAACATCAAAATATTCCTGAAAAAAGCACCGTACACCAACGCTGTATGCAAAAAAATCCCAGTGGGATGCAAGTCAAACAACAACAACCACAAGAAAACGTATTACTCGCCGCCGACTGGACATCTGTGAAAAAGAGCTTTCTAGCTCATCGGATTCCTCCAGTATTAATATTCTAATTCTGATGAGACGCGAGGTTGCTGAGTCGTGGGCGGGGTTGGCAGGCGGGTGAGCGTGACCTGACGGAGAGTGGGCGTGCCCAACTGCTGTGTGGGCGGGGCCCGGCAAGAGGGAGGGGCTGCCAGCTTGCCACGTGTTCCCTTGTTGATGTTGTGGGTTGACTCTCCAGCACACCGGCGTGCTGTAGTAGTAACGAATTGTGCATGTTTTGTTTGCGTGACAAACTCTTTGCAATTATGAATATTGGTCGCGAAAGCCTACTACGTGTTAAACTGTCCTTGCTGAGCCTCGTAGAAATTTGGATAACTTCTGAAGTAAATTAAACTAAACTACTTTTATTTGTTCTAGATTTGAAGCTTTCGTGACTTGCAAGGATCCATACTCTTTGGTTCTATTCGGTAGTCACGTAGGTAAAAAATTGAAACAACAAAAATCACGACGTTTCGGCCACCTGATGAAGGCCGCTTGTGTTGTGGCCGAAACGTCGTGATTTTTGTTTAAATTTTTTACCTACGTGACTTTACCGAATAGAACCAAAGAGTACTTTTATTTGACCTGGTAAGGCCCACTTAGCTATGAACCTCTATTTTTTAGAAGCGACATGGCTATCACAAATGATAGCTCAACCAAGTTGCATTTCACGTGGAAATTTATCGCAGCCAAATACTCTAAACGGATGTTTCTAAATGCGGAGGGAAAAACCGGAGGACCATGGGGAGAACATGCAAGCTCTAAATATACAGCAGGCATCGTCAGGGTCGAAATCAAACCACCCACGACCTCCTGTATACCAGGCGAGGTAGTTAATATCTCGCCACTGTGGCTGTCGACCCCACCCGCATGCGGCACAGGCGATGTGCTGATGAGCGTGAACGGCGTTGACCTGACGCGGCGCAGCCACAGCGAGGCGGTGGCGCAGCTGAAGGCGTGCGCCGTGTGCCCCGTGGTGACGCTGCGCGCCCTCGAGGTGCGCGTCCATTCCGGGCCGGGTGCCACCGTCACCGCCCCCCCCCTCCTCCTCCTCCTCCCCACCGCCGCCCCCCAGTGCCGGCGGCGGCACCGGTGGCGGAGGCGAGGCCACCAACGCCGAGCACGAGTACGATGCCAACTGGTCGCCGCCGTGGCTCATGTGGCTCGGACTGCCCAGGCAAGCAGCCTCCCTCTTGCACGCCACTCACTCGCCGGGCTCAATCACCCAGTCACCCGGCGCCTCGTCAACCATCCATCTGTCCATCCGTCCATCTGTAAATCTGACCGTCCTTCAATCCGTCCGTCCTTCAATCCATCCATCCATTAATCAGTCCATCAGCCTGTCCGTTCATTGGTGCGTTCATCCTGTAAGTCTGTCCATTTGTCTGTCCATAATTCAAACGATCCGTCCATCTTCCTCCGACTCCACCGCACCCGTTCGTCAATTTGTCGATTCAAGTTTGTAGGCCGGGGTAAGGTGGGGGGGGGGGGGGGTATTCTGGTCGAGATGGATTGTGCACAGCATGCTGCGTTGCTGCTCAATCTGCCCAAATCATATTATTGTGTGATCATCATCACCCATGGACTAGCCACTGTTGAATGAAGGCATGCCAGAGCTGTCACCAAACCTCATGGTCACACGATGCAACAATCCGTCTAGCACCGACACACAAGCTGATCTCGTTGCATTGCTTCATCCCTCTTCGTGAGTGTCCTCTCTGCCGCTGCGTTGTTAGTCTCATTCCCTGGCCAGCATCCCATCCATCTGTTTTTTGTATAATTTGTTCTAAATTATACCACTGGTGACTTCCTTCAAATTGGTGCTCACTTTATCAACCCGAGACTGACGCAAACTCGTATTCTTCCTGATGCGATCCGCACACTACGAATACTGTGCCGCTTTGCCGGATGGCTCATGGTCAGGAGGGCTTTTAACGTCAGGTTAAAGCACTGAGCTAGCACTGTTGAGACCATGGGTTGGACTCTGTAGATCCTTCAATGGCCGTACTTGGTTCTCAAGTCAGTCTCAGCTCATGATGTAGAAAATTCTGCCAATCCTAGTTTTTGGCGGTTAAATCTATAAATTGCATAAATTACATACAAAAAATATATTTTTTCAGTACACAAGAGTGTTATCTCGTGTTGAATAATAAAAAGAAAGATTACGTTATTAATGGGGTAGTTTTCAGGTGTCATCCTTAAGGGACATTGCTTGAAATCATGTGTCGATGTTCCAGCTGAGAAAATACGAGATTGATCTCTCAAAGCAATGATGCATGAGGGCGATGTAAGCAACAATCGTCACTGGTAACGCATTTCCTGTGAGCAACGGCGTATGGAGATGGCATCGCAACGGATGTGTCTGAAAAACAGAAAATTCTGGGGTAACTTTTACCGGTGAATTTTGTTGGTGGAAATTTGTTGTGATATTGCCTTTCTATATAGTGTGATTTCGCCTCATGATAAGACCCTCAAGTTCAATTTAAGAAACTTCAGGAAATACAATGCATATAAATGCAATTGTATAGCATCTACGTTGAACTTCTTTCGCACCATATGTAGCCAACTATGCTAATCAGAGGTGCAGGCTTATATATAAATACAGGACCATGCCATAATATTGCCATTCCTGTCAGATGTATCAAATTATACAGCCAAGCACTGCACACATTACATGGAAGTGTACCTCGTGCAAACATGTGGTCAAGTTTAATCTACTGGATGTGTGTGAAAAATAGCTTTATAGCTCATTGGATTCCACCAGTATAAATATTCTGATTCTGATTTGCAAAGAAGATTGTGACATGCTCTCTCTTCATTATCGGTTAGCACGAGCGAGCTCCTGTGAGATCTCTGGAAAATACGAGGGATGTTTACAATATCTTTGGAATTTAATCTCGTGGGAATTTCCTTGACAGTCTTAAATAAAAGTTGGATAATATTTTTGCCGTCTTGTTCATTGCTTAACCACACCAAAGCAAGGCACGGTGCACACCGATCAATAACACAGATACATACATGACCGTGGAGAGACATTACCATTCATATTTATCAAAATACGTTCATTGATGTGCACACTGCACTTAAAATCCGGCATCCTGAAATCAGTCTCCGAACATGGCTAATGTTTGTGGCGAGCGGTATTTGAACCGGTTCTGAGCCCCCACCATCGTTCACCAATCCACACTGACCAGCGAAGTGAAGTACGGTCAAACAATCGCCATGGCTAACACGGCGACCTTCATTCTACCAATGGATTGGCAAAGGGCAGTTGGTAAGAAAATGTTTTTACATTATTACGATTAGGCCGTGGATTGTGAATGCAATGCCACGTAAATTCCACAAGCCGCATGGGATTTCTCGGGAACGGTTTTGGCGAGGGTTAATTTTTTGTTTGTTTTGTATTCCTATTGTGCCTCCGGCAGCTTCCTGCAGAGCCGCAAGGAGGTGATCCTGCGCAGAAGCACATCGGGGAGCTGGGGGTTTAGCATCGTGGGGGGATACGAGGAGAACCACAGCAACCAGCCCTTCTTCATTAAGTCCATCGTGCTGGGCACGCCGGCCTACAACGACGGCCGCCTCAAGTGAGCGCCACCACATGCCACTCGTATTGCGTTCTCGGCCACTGCAGTCGCTCACTCACGGCAGTCTGTGGCCCTGACGCGGCGAGGTGTGACACAGGGCCAGGTGTGACACAGGGCCAGGTGTGACACAGGGCCAGGTGTGACACAGGGCCAGGTGTGACACAGGGCCAGGTGTGACACAGGGCCAGGTGTGACACAGGGCCAGGTGTGACACAGGGCCAGGTGTGACACAGGGCCAGGTGTGACACAGGGCCAGGTGTGACACAGGGCTTGGTGTGACACAGGGCCAGGTGTGACACAGGGCTTGGTGTGACACAGGGCCAGGTGTGACACAGGGCCAGGTGTGACACAGGGCCACTTGTGACACAGGGCCTGGTGTGACACAGAGCCAGATGTGACACAGGGCCAGGTGTGATGAGGGCCAGGTGTGAAGGGGCAATCTGTGATGAGACCAGGTGTGACGGGGCCAGTCAGCTGGATTATTCAATCACCACTTGGTCTCACCCTGTATTTGGACTTAACACACACAGCTGTATTGGCTGTTGCAGCTGTAGTGGCTGTAGAGCGGCATGAGCTCAGATTTCCTCCGACATCCGTCTGAAGTGAGCGAACAGCAATCATCACCTCCCAAAGATCACAACATTCATGCTTCTGAAGCCCGCTGTTATTGTGTCCTTAAGCACACGCATTATGGCTGCCAGGCTTTGGTGTCGGCCCGGTACACATCCAGTATACCTCCCGCAATGGCTGTGGCTACTGCTAGTCACATGCTTACTCCAGTGTACCAGCGACACGGAAAATATTCAGTGAGAAACTGAGCCCTGATAACAGTGCAGAGTGATGTTATTTTTACACTTCCGGTGGCGCAGAAACATCGACAGGATTTTGTAAATGAAACGCAGTGATTTAATTCCCGGTTGGCCAGTGGTGTACCGTGGTTGGCAATGAGCCATCTTGGAAGGAATTACAATGCTCCCCCACCCACCCCTGTCCAACGTTTCCTCTTTTTATAGCCCACCACCTGGGCCCCTCTGGTCCACTGGCCCAGGGCGCAGATGCACCGCCTGCACACCCGAGAGCTAAACCCTGCTCTTGGTGCAACTCACAAACCGAATGCGCATTATTTGCCTTTAAAACACGAACTATATTGGCTCACGAAGCCTGAGAATTACACATCACTGAGCTAGGCCGCTGTGGTCGGTCAGCTATACCCTTCTCTTTCACATCTGAGTCGTGTGAGCGCGGGGTGCGGGGGGAAGGAAGGGGGGCCTTGCAGTACGGGTGGCTTTCCAGCAGCTATTAGAGGAGCCAATCTCAAACCCAAACTGTGAAACTGGCCTTGGGACCCATCTGAATCTGTCTCGATGACAAGCGGGGCCAAAGATCCTTGGTTAATCGCTTTCATCGTACACGCGACCCGACACCTTAATTGTGCGTTACATCAGCGGCACTATGACTCGAGTTCCGCCATGCAAAGAGAACCTAAACCTCCTTCCTCCTCTCCGCACACCGCCCCCCCCCTCCCCCCCCCCCCGTGGCAGGTGTGGGGACATGATCGTGGCCGTGAACGGGCACGGCACGACCGGGATGAGCCACGCGGCGCTCGTCACGCTGCTCAAGGAGCTCCGCGGGAAAGTGACGCTCACCGTCGTGTCCTGGCCCGGCAGCATCCTCTGAGAGTGCGGCCACAGCGGGCACGGCGGGCACAGCGGGCACAGCAACACAGCCGCCAGCACCACTGCCACCGCCACTGCCACCGCCACTGCCACCATCAGCACTACAACCACCACCAACGCCACCGACTCCAGTACCACTGCGGCGACCATCATCACTCTCACCGCCACCACCGCCACCACCGCCAACAATCAGGGGTGCAGCCAGACTTATTAAAGGAGTCCTGGACGGTAGGAATAGTCCCAGTATATATGTGTAGTTCAGTTACATGGCAACAAATACCGCAACTGTAATTTGAATATAAACAATTCCAATGAGGATTCTAATTGGAAGCCTCCTATATTTGTTACCAGAATAGGCAGCTAAAATTGAGCTTTTCTCCGCTGTATTATGATACGTACTTTTCACAACTGTTTAAAACCATTTTGGAAAAGCAGAGGTGACCTTTGGTATTAAGAAATTGGTGTGTGAGGCAGGAGACATGTCTATTACTGCGATTATCAGACGGCTGCAATTTTTAACAAACCAGAAATGAAGCATCTGGCCTTTGAGTGAATACACGTCCAAACAATGTACTGTTCGGGGAGAGGATGAGCAATGCTGCAATTCTAAAGAGAACACGGGCAAGGAATTGTCGATGTAATCAGGAGGTCGTTAGGCATGGGACAAGTGTGCAATGCAGAGGGACGGTTATTGGGACAGGTGACGGGAGATTGGCGATCAAGGGGAATATCTAAAGCCAGATAGTGGGAGAATCTAAATGCTGACCTTGGATGTCAACAGCTTTGAGAGGAAAGCAATGGAGATGTCTGATGACCTCTTGACCTTGAAGCGATTATACATACAGTGCACAATATAAAATGTCATGGTTACAAAGGCAGAGTATGCTTCAGTGGAGGAAATGGAATAAAATTATTGGGTCTAATATGAAAGAGGAAAATTATATAAAGTGCCTCTCCAGCCAGTAGGCTCATTCACAAGAGTGAGCAGCTCGCAACCACAAGGTTCCAGAGTTCACATCCTGGTTGGGCGCCAATCATCTCTCCGGGGAAAATAAAATATGTACCACTTTTGGGGGAAGTCAAGAGTGGTTGTCCGATTGAGAGGCTCGCTCCCGCGATAGGAATGTGGAATTTCCACAACTGGCTCAGGGCCGTAAACAGCAGATGAGCACCATCTCAATGCAAGAAATCACTTCAACTGGACCTGTTACCTGTCTGGACAATGATTTAAAACAAGCTGCGACATTTATCTGTGTGCACCGAATCTGGCTATACCCCCAAATTACCACCACAACCACCACCACAACCACCCCAGCATGATCTCATGAACTATGTCACTTTACTTGACCGATAAGTATTTTTCTATCTTGGATTGCTCTACGTGTGGATAGCTATCGTGTAGTATACGCTATTGTGGCTAGCTGCCTTACAATGCTTTACCATGCAGCGGCGGATTTATTTTCCTTTTTCAAATGTATGAATTTTCCACAAACCGGTTCGTTTTATCAGCGTCGGTGTTGCAGGCACAGCATTCACAGCCGGGTTCAACTGGAGGCAAGTTACAAAAGGTTACAAAAGTGGTGAATGCAGCTTGCAAAGATTTTCAAGCAAGACTTCCAGTTTTGCATTACCGTTTGGAACAGACCGCCAACGAATACGTTTCGACTGAAATTATTAATTGCTCCATGATTTTATCTGTAAGTGGTAGGTACCCAAAAAAACAATAACTTTAAAGAGCGGAATAGCGGTGCGGTGGTGAGCACACTGCACCATTACCCTTGATGACCAATTTAATTTGCTGGCTACAACGAACATCAGTGGTTATATCCGAATCAGTCCCGGGCTACCTCTTCGTCACCAACTCGCAGTGACCGTGAAGTGAAAACAAATAACACCAATGACTGGCATAGCATTCATCTAGCAGCGGATTGACAAAGGCCTGCAAAGTATTTTCTTTAAAAAGCGCCACTCACGTGAGCAACATCTTGGACGTTTCCTCGACCAAAATAATTTTAAAAGGAAATACTTTAACGTCATTATTTCACATTATAAGAAGGCCAGAGGCAAGAGCCGGCCGCGGTTCTGATGCCACTCGCAAATAGGCTCTTAAATGACTCTCCGTCCTTATCAATTTTGGGGTTTTAGGCTTATTAGGGTGCAAGGGCCGCTGCTGTGGAGTAATGGCGAGTCCAATGGACTTAAACTTGCCGATTCGATCTCCCACTTGCCTCTGTCCAGCCAGCACCACCGCAGTCAAGGGATTTGCAGGTCGCGTTTGGTGGGGTCAAGTGTGGGTACTGCCTTTCTTTCCAAGACGTCTGACCAGCGCGGAAGAGTAGACTCTTCCGCCAGCCATGGCATGAGCAAAACACATTGCTGGGCTGCGCCCCTTTTACCCTATTAGGCACAAGGTCTAGTTATCAGATCACAGCGATATCCAATGGTTTTATGGGTCCAAATGAAACTCGCAACAGTGGACAGGTGTGGGAAAATGATTTCCCATGTTAGCTGCTGAATTGTTCCCATTATATTTTAGCCTTAAACAAAGTGCCAAACAAACCTTACTATTTTTCGGCTACTTTTCATCCAGCTGATACACGAATCCATCAAACATTGTGTCGATGTATGCGCATATTAAAGATATACCTTTTTAAGCTATATGCTGCATACCGTTGATCGTTTTAAAGTGCTTTGCCACCAATCGTTTTTACTGATCAATGGATAGCGAGAGAAACTAAATTGTGACCAAATGTGCACAGCAAGTTTTTTAAAGAAACATTCGTGAATGTCAAATGGTGAAAATCACATCTTGAAATGTCAGAAAAATACTCCCTCAGCTATAATAGCAAGTTAGCAGAGACGGTGTTCACTCGGGGTGACATTATTTAACCCCTCCCCGATTCTATGCCTTCTTCCAATTTAGTATTCAATCCCGTTTTAGCATTGTGGCTGCATACGAGCCGATGAATTGTTGCCATTCAAGAGGTGATTCTTAACTTAAATGCTTCGTGAATGACAGCACCTCCAGTGACTGCATGGGTCACCTAGACCCATTCCCAAATATACGCTTGGAAAAAGAAAAGAATAGATGGAATTCGATGCACGTTTCGCGAGCTTAAGAATCGCTATTAAATCGCCGATGCAATGCATCGACGCATCCCGAGTGCTCTGCCGTCTGTCTCACGGCACCGGGGACTGGCCCTTGGTGTCTCTATTCTTACCACCGGTCCCTCAAAAAATAAACAACAAAAAACTAGGCTTACGTACAGCGATGGGTTTATCCCGAGATGCGAGGGCGACCGCAGGGACGTAACCCCGTGCCTCCCACAGCAGAGTTCTGGTGGAGTGCGGTCTGTAGGAGGTCGCGCGTACGTGCAAGCCTCATCGCCGTACCCAAAACAACAAAAAAGCGTGACTCTAAATCATGCAAGCTCAACTGTTTGCATTTTCTGTGATGCGAAAAGGACATTTTTGCTTGTGGATTCAGGAAAGTGCGTCCAAGTATGTGGCTGTAAATACTTTCATATGCATTCTGTTACATTCCTCTTCGCAGAGACGCCCTGCGTTTTTATGTTTTTAATGGGATTTTTTAATGCGGATGGCTAAAATGCTTAGACCTTAAAAAAAACCAGGGCTTTGCTATTTAACATAATAATGTAATAGCTAATAGTGACCTTTAACACTCTCTAAATGTGATGTAATTATCATCTGTAAATTGTTTGCAGAGTTGGGACTTTTATTAAACACAACGCAGAAAATATGGCGTGGGCCTTTATTTATTGTGCTCCAAATACGAAGACAGCACACGCAGTTACTTATAAATACGTCTTAAAGTCAATGCAAACACGTAACAACGGGCACACACACACGCAAACCACGGTATTTTTTCAATAATAACACTAATATATTTAGTTGTGCTCATTCAATGGACGTGACAGCAATATCAAGCATGGACAATATTAACCCCTACACATCCGTTTATTTGAGATCGTCTCTAAAAGCTCTTTTATTATTCGTGTTACGTTAATATATTTTTCATTAATTTAATAAACTGCAAAAAAACATTTAGAAGTAACCTTGCATTATACGACATTTTAACGATTACATTTTAACATCCAGAATCACGTTTGAGAACGTATAATGAGCACGCTCCATTAAAAAACAAATAGAATACATATTCTTGGTTCTTTCGGTAAAGTCACGTAGAAGGGAAACAATAAAATAATAAAAATATATAATTTAAAGTCACGTAGAAGGGAAACAATAAAATAATACAAATAAAAAATATATTTTTATATAAAATAAAAAATATATTTTTATATAAAATAAAAAATATATTTTTATAATTTTATTGTTTCCCTTCTACGTGACTTTATTTTATTGTTTCCCTTCTACGTGACTTTACCGAAAGAACCAAGAATATGAATCCCTGCAGTCACGAAAGCTTTAAATCAAAATAGAATACAGTCCCCGCAGCAAGGTCGAGCTATAAGTCCGCCCCGCGAGTTAGCACGCATGCACGGATGCATAAATGTTGTTATATACACACCCCGCGCTGTGGCAGGGTGTACATAGTCCACCAATGGCGCTCCACGTGAAGATGTGTTTTTGAGAATAATTGCTGCTTTGGGTCCTCACAGCTCCAGGTTCCCACAAGGCATTAAAGGCGGGAAATGTTCACACGAAACAGACACACGCACGCACGCGCGTGCCTCCGGACCTGCCAACTTCCTCGTGAAAAATACAATCAGCCAAAGAAGTCAACCTTATAAGGCACACAAAAAAATATATAATTATAACCATCAATATTTGTTTTTTTCCTTACAGAACCCAGTACTTTTACTGCTTCATTTGAAGCTTTGTACCAACCCCCTTAAAACAATCTGACTTTTGCTCTTCAGTGGGAAGATGCGGGTAACTTGAAGCGAGCGGCAACTCTGACCTTTGGTCGGACAGCCTCTGGTCGAGAGGTGTCCTCTCAGGCCATATGGACACCGTCCATTGTGCCGCCTTGGTTGAGCATCAACCCCACGGTGTGTACGATTGGGTGCGGTGTGTGGCGTGGGTGAAGTTGGTGCGGTGCGTAGGATGGGTGCGGTGTGTGGAGTGGGTAAAGTTGGTGCGGTGTGTGGAGTGGGTGAAGTTGGTGCGGTGCGTACGATGGGTGCGGTGTGTGGAGTGGGTGAAGTTGGTGCGGTGCGTACGATGGGTGCGGTGTGTGGAGAGGGTGAAGTTGGTGCGGTGCGTACGATGGGTGCGGTGTGTGGAGTGGGTGAAGTTGGTGCGGTGTGTGGAGTGGGTGAAGTTGGTGCGGTGCGTACGATGGGTGCGGTGTGTGGAGTGGGTGAAGTTGGTGCGGTGCGTACGATGGGTGCGGTGTGTGGAGTGGGTGAAGTTGGTGCGGTGTGTGGAGTGGGTGAAGTTGGTGCGGTGCGTACGATGGGTGCGGTGTGTGGAGTGGGTGCGGTGGCCAGCCAGCCGCTCCGCCTCAGCACAGGCTGTGCTCCTCCGAGCCGACCAGCTCCTCCCTGTACCGGAGCCGGTGATTACGGTGTCTGCGGTGCCCCGCGGCCGTCACCTCATCACCGCCGCCGCCTTCTTGCCGATGGCTGCAACTAATGACAGAGACAGCCGTATCGGCATCCCGCCGAACTAATCGCCGCGCTCACCGCTCACCGCGTACAACGGATAAGGGGGGGGGGGGGGGGGGTACCAGAGAACGACATGAATAATTCATGCTGCTACTGTCATTTCTCCACCACTCCTTGGTTTTCACTTTTATAATTTGGACGTGCAGTGTTAATATCTCACTTAGCGGGTGAAGGTGTTTTCTCCGTCGCGCCAATAATTTACGCTTACTGTATTCTCCGCATGATAAAACCCACTCTGGAAAGAGAAGATGCACGCCAGAACTCTTGTCCAGGGTGTCTGCGTACTTTGAATTTCTTGCGCACCGCACGTAGCCAACCGTGCTCATCGGAGTGTCAATGCATTATGAAGAAATATTGGTCTCTCGCCAGCGAGCACCTACACTTAACGGATTGTGACAAACCCCTCAACTTTTGCTTTACAATAGGGAGCAAGAAAGTGATTCATAATCCGCAGAATATGGCAGTTGGCCGTCGAATGTGTGCACAATTAAACCACGATCAGCCTTGCAGGAGAGGAGGAGAGGGCATGGCGGGGAGGGGGGGGGGGCAAGCCGAGGGTGGAAGCGAAGAAGGGAAGGGTGACGGGTGAGGAAATTTTCACAACATTGATCGTGATTGGGGGGGGGGGGGTGGGCGGTGGTGGGGCCACCAGCAAGCGCCTCCACACAGAGTTAATGAGCGTGCGAGAGGCGACACGGACCTGTGGAGCTGTTGACAGCGGCTGTCTGCCCTGTTGTCCCGGTCGTGACGCTGCTTCTCCCACGCCCTGTGCTGGCCGCGCGCCTGCTCCCATTGGTCACGGCCGCCGGCGAAATCCCCCGAGCTCGACGCGACGGCCTCGTGTCCTCCGTGAGCTCTGCGGAACACGCACCTCCTGAGATCTCACCTCCTCCTCCTCCACCACCTCCTCCTCCTCCTCTCCCTCCACCACCACCACCTCCTCCACCTACACCTCCTTCGTCTCCTCCTCACTGCGGGAGGCATCCCTACGCGCTCCCCCGCCCCCATCGTTGAGCGCAAATCACAAACCAGAACCAGGACTACCCTCCGGCACGGTGACTTTTTATAAATTATTTATTTTTATGTTTAATGGCTTAACTTTTAATTGCCGAATAAGCGAGTCGTTTTGGCATAAGTTGTGCGCTTTGGTTGTGTGTATAATGCTTTGCTTTGAAGGTAGATTCAAATATTGTTCATTAGCCATTAATATATTTCTTTTACTGGGAACAAATTCCATACCGTGACGTTCAAAACACTTCCCTTTTCATGCCATTTCTCGCTCTGCTCAACAAGTTCTCATCACCTTGCTCATATGAACTCTTATTGAATACACCTCAGCGGTGCTGTTTATTGCTGTCCCGTTTGGGTACCTTTCGACATTTTGGTCTGTGCTCAGCGACCGTGATAAAAAAAAAACATATTTTCTAATTCCTGCACGGCACGCTATGCTTCTGGGCTGCCAGCATTACAGCCTGCTTGGCACCATTACAGACTGTACGTACGTACGTGTGTTGAACTTCTTTCACACCGTACGTAGCCAACTGCGCTAATCGAAGCCTGGTTGGCATCGCAAATAAACTGCCCTGTAAACGAAGGTTCAGCGGATTCATAAATTTTGGAGTTATACTGCATAAGTAAAATGCTGTGTCGTATAGCCTCCTCCACCCCGACACAGCCAATAAATAAAGTTGTCACGTGGTGAACTATCGTGCCAATTTATTAACTGCTTCAGCCGTACCACCGGTGTTGTTTGAGAGGGATCCACACCACGTTTAACAATTCAGTGTGGACGTTTCGCTGCTAGTTACAACCAGCATCATCAGGCAGTTGCCAGAATTTTGCGCAAATATCAAATAGTTTTGAGTCTTGGGGGGCCTTAAAATTAGGTATAACTGCGTGATGTCGCGCAACATAATTTCGAAAGTCAATACAGCGCAACTATATATTATGAATGTTAGTGCCCCTCAAAACATGTATTTTGTGCAAGAGGGTCATCAACAAAGGGACTAATGTAGCCTGTTACACCACAGGCCCTTTGCATCAAGAATTCAGTGGCTGCAGAAGAACATTGTGTGTTTTCTTCCTCCGCTTATGTTTCCATGGCAAAATGTATGGCCGTGTGTGCTGTTGTTCTGTCCGGGACAACATTTAACTCCCCCCACCCCCCCGCATGATTGCGGAAATCGGTGGCCTTGGTCTGAAGCGGCCCACGTTGCTCAAGGAAAGATGAAATTCTGCGATCACGTAGCAGCCACGGCGTTCCATCACTCAAACCAGAACCAAGCGCACGTAAAAGCCAGGACATTTCCCTCGCTTTAGAATTAGATATTGATGGGAATAAAATTATATTGCACTGCGCCCAAGCAACCTAATACGGTACCGCCCGTTACCCCGTTGACACTGGACGCAATTCACGGGTTCGCTTAAGTGGTTTTTACAAGCGCTTTACTGTAAAAGCAACCGAATTTACCACTCCCAATGAGCTTCGCTAAACTCTTAACTGGGGAGCAATACGTTTTAATGCAGGTGTCACTTCATTAGTAACAACCCTCCCAATGCCCGACTTGTCCTCAGAAGACTCCTGCACACCGAGACAATAAGCCACGAGGACTTAACGTAGACAGAGCCACTCGCAGTCGAGGCTAAGATTGCGTTCACCTCGCTTGCACTCCAGCGGTGCTCGCAGAACCTCGCGGTTGGTGAACAAATTACCGTTGCTAAAAAAAAAAAAACACCCCTCCCCTCTCTATGCATGTGTGTATGTTGAACTTCTTTCGCACCGTACGTAGCCAACCGCGCTAATCGGAGAAGCTCCTCTAGAAGATTCCTCTAGTGGAGGCACCTCTGCTAGCAGTGGCGTGAGAGAAAAGTGAAATCCTGCAACTGCTTGCCCGAAAAATAGAAACAAAAATAAAAATGTAGAGAACAAGTGTACAATCAGGAAGTCCCAGCATGATTTACATGTCAAGATATCGGCGCCTTTCCTCCGCACACTGCACACAAATCAACTATAAACTAAACTATTTTTTTCATTTTACAGGTAAAGCCCACTGAGTTATATAGATTATTTTCAGAAGCGACCTGATTGATAGCTCAACGAAGTTGCTTATCACGTGGAAATGTATAGCAAGCCAATACTCTAAATGCATGTTTCTAAATGTGGAGGGAAAAACCGGAGGAGCCAGAAAAAAATCCACCCGACTACGGGGAGAACATGCAAACTCCAAATATACAGGCGTCCGGGTCAGGATTGAACCCACTCCTGTATACCTGGCGAGGTAGTTAACATCCCGTCACCTCGGCGCCACCACACAGCTTGCGATGGCTTGAGCTGGCGGCCTGGCGTTTTTATTTTAGGCAGAAAAGGATGGTGATGGGGAGAACACTCAAATCTCAAATCGTATCATGCAAAGCATGCTAGGCCTCCCTGCTTTGGGCTTTCTAAAACACCCGACTGTGGATAGCCCTCCGATGCGTTTTGTGGTTTTATGATGCCATGTGCTGTTTTTCGGCACAATGTTCGACATTTCCCGCCACGTGACTGAAGTGTCTGCTTCAGGAACTCAACGGAATTCAAGAACTGAAGTCACGGTCGGAGAGAGCCATGCAGCGCAACCGCAAAAAATCTACTCAGCAGCAGCAGCACCTTATCTCATATAATCATCATTTAATTTCTGGACCGCGTTAATTTTTGCAAGAGGCCGACCAATTTCCACATTAGTTGGAGAAAGTGCTTGAATTGGAATGGGCCGGTACTGGGCATTCTCCTTGCCCCCCCCCTACACCACCCCCCACCGACATGCCCCCCCCCCGCCCCCTCGCTCCCTCTGCCGCCATTAACCGTCTGCGCCGAGAAGAAGCTGAATCTGGAGCGTGGGAGGGGGTCAGGATGGTACCCGTTGTTGCACGTGGCGGGCATGGCGCCGCTCATCTGGCCGGCGAGGGCCGCGTCGCGGGCACACTGCTGCATGTAGAGGTCCCAAACGGCAGCGGCGCCCGATCTCCTGAGCAACGACGGCCAGGCCAGTGGTGTCTGCCCGGGGCTGGGCGTGTAGCCCATCCCCAGGGCTACGTTCGTTGCGGACGAGAGAAAATGAACAAAATGTGAGCCATCGCCATTAGGCGCGTAGCAATTCACGTCGCCCACACACACCAGCAATTGAGTGAAATGTCACGATTCGGTGTCACGTTTTTTCCATTCAAGAGCCCTGTCGTTATTTTTGTGTTGCTCGTTTACGGAGCCTCGTCTCTGTACCATCTCGTACGCGACGTGTGACTCAGGTGAAGAGCGGTCGCGCGTTGCGGCCAAGGACGGGAGTTTGATTCCTGGCCATGGCTAACATAAGTGAGCGAATTATATTTTAACCAGTCCTGGGCACCCACCTTCCCCCATACCAAATTCGTCATGTGGATGAATGGGGCGAAGTATGTTCATGACCGGGACAATGTGCAGAGACCTTGATCAAGAAGTGCATTGATCAGAAGCGTTAGATTATATAATGTGTCTCGTTTGTAATTTATATATTGTGTTATCGCTTTATCCTGCCTCATTTTGTAGCGGTGCATCTCGAATTGCATCGTCTGTCTAGTTCATACTGTACTTTCTAATTTGTACGATTATTTAATTGTCTATATTGTACCCTTTCACTCACTTATACTGTTAATTTCCAATTTTCTTAATCGTGCGTCTCATTTATATTGTCTATTATATTTAATCAAGCTAGTATTGTCCAACTCAATTGTTCCATTAGCCAAAATGTATTTGAGTACTGTAATTTACAAACTGTTTGTACGAATCCCGAATAACCAAAGCTTGCACGCACGATTCTACGCTCGTACCACGAACAAAAGAATTGACGCTTCGAGAGACAAAACGTTATGCGGTGAAATCATCAGCGCATAAACGCCCACCTGAGTTGCTTAGCGCACTCACTCGCTTAGCCAAATTTCACGGGACGTGGGGGGGGGGGGTCGCGATGCTGCGATTCCCGGCAGCCGCGCGGTAATTTCTGCGGGGAATAAGCGAAGTGAGCGGTCTGCTGTTGTAAAACGGATGTTAAATACCCCGTGGCATCGTTCGCCAAAGTAGGGGTTTACGTTTCGGCACTGGAGTGTGCAATCCCAAGATGAAAGACCGCTCGCAAATTGCTACAAATTGACAACATTCGCTGCTTAGCGTATGCCTGCTTCCTCCGTGTGGCTATGTTGCTCGACTACATTGGCGTGCAAACCTTAATCCACCCCGCCGCCACTCGGAAGCAATGAGTGCACACAAACAAACACAACCACTTAAATATTAATGACCTCAAGAGATACAATACCATTATACATTAGAAATTAGGGGTCGGTTACAAATATCCGAGTCGTGTTTTAATGATGATAAAAGTAAGAAAAGAAAAATACACAACGTAACGTACAACACGCACCGAGCAATTATTTTTTGAACGAATGTAATTTATGGCAGCACTTACTGTTGTAGTCGTACGTGTGAGCCATCGCACCATCATAGCTCGGGAAGCTTTAAAAAAATAATACAAATAGCATCTGTGCACTTTGGAAATCAATTTATCCAGCACGTTAATCCATTGGAAAAGATGTCACATGCAGCGTGATACCGCCGTGCGATTCATATTTTCAGCGTTTTTTTTTTTAAATATAAATCCGTACATCAAATAAAAATTCTAATCGCCACGTACGATTGTGAAGTAAATGGTAATGTAGAGTGAAACGGTTGACAATCCTGGACGCATTTAAACGATTGTGAGCGCGCCGTATAAGTCGGATGTTATTTTAATTGAAACTCACCTTTCCGCGGCATTGAGGACAGCGAATAAATTGGATGGGGAAATACCTGTGAAAGCCACGTGCCCTGAAACAAATGAAAACGGCGATCGGTGAGAAGGGCACATACGCCTAATGAAATGGGACTTCGTGCAGAAACTGCCGCCTCGGCACCAAAGGCGGTATTAAAAAATTGTAACGGGATTAAAATGGCACTAACGACTGAAAAACACGACGCGGTCCATGTTACGGCTTAGAGGGCCCTCCCCTTTTAGGGCTCCGTTGGGAACCTTGATGGAAACCCTGTCCAGCAACTATTGACAAAGGCAACTGCTAATTTTATATGTTGTTTGTGTTTGCAGAGGTGTGCACGACGCGAATTGGGTGCAAGCGCAGACTTGCCGCCTTTGATGATTTATTCCACCTGTCCCGTTGCAATACTCAACGAGTTAATCGCCTTTCCGCACGCGCGCGGTGACCAGCCTCGGTGTTCGGCCACCGCTAAGTAAGCCGCCCGTGCCGTCTGATTGTGATTGATGCGACGGCGCGGCCTGACCCCGTGGAGCGAGCGGCGCTCGCTCACTCGCTCGCTCGCTCGCCAAGTGACAGACGCGGGGGCAAAACAAACCCGGCTCGATTTTTATTTCATTTCGTTATATTCAAGTTTTTTTGTTTGTTCCTCTCTTCCCTTTCTTTCCCCCCCCCCGTCAATTATATTCCAGTTGCGCAATCGGTGTCGCGTCACGAGACGGAGACGCGCTCGCGGGCAGCGGCGCAGCGTCTTCCCCGTGACGGATAACGGCCTCTGGAAAAGGACATCGAAGAACCACCTCCGAGGTCGATCGAGTTGCCCGCTCATCCATGTTCCACGCCGCGCGTCCTCGAGTGCGATGCCAGAGGCGTCCGTCTCACGGGGGATCAAGCCCAAATATTTGTTTTTGTCATTCTATGCCCAATTGTCAGCGAAAAACCACGTTCACTATCGTGGTTGTTTTGTGCGTTTCGTTAACGACGACCCGATTGAGTAATCACGGCACTGCACTTTAATCATGCATGGGTGGCCATCTCTGTATTTCATCTCAGGATCTCGGCAGGTGCTGGGCTCAGTGTTCTTGCACAATGAAGCCCTGTGGCCACCAAAAGCCCTCATTCCACCGGCGTGTCCGACCTGTGCCAGCGCGGAGGCCCTCGGGGTACAGGTGGTTTTCCCACTGGCTATTTTGCCCTGCCAAGCCGACATCTCAATCTGGCACGGGGTCAAGTAAGGCCAGGGGTAGGACAAACAACGCGGTTGTCGCGTGCGACGTTAGTCGGCACGTGGGCACGGCGTCTCCGTGACGCCTGCATGCGTCTCAACTCGTCACATTGTGTGACGTCAGCGCATGGCTCGGCTTCTGCTGTGGACAAAAAAAACAACAACCTGGCACCTCGTGAGCTGCGCTGGGCTGGGCAAGCTCGGCACGGCCGTGGCACGCTTTAGCAGTGGATGGGGCGAACGGCGACAAAACCGGAAAGCCTGCCCACACATGACGCACTCACCTGCTTGATGCATGGTCTGCAAAACCTCCGAGGTGAAAGGAGAGGGTGGCAGGAAAGTGGGTGACAGCACAGGGAAGGACTGCTGATGAGCTATGTTTGGAGGGAAGAAATGTGCCGCGTTCTTGTGCACATCGAATTCCAACTGCTGCATGATCTGCTCCAGCCCATCTGGAATCTGCGCGAAAGGTTATCGAAGCATTGCAAGTGAAGTCCCTGAGTGCAAGAAAATCCTCTGGTATGCAATATCAACTGTGTGGAATGTTTTTAACATACACATTTTTTTTGGACATATAATAGTAACGCCCATTATAATTTACCCAGGAAAGCATGGCTGAGTCGCAAGGCATTGCTGGGCTTGTGGAAGGAAAACCGGAAAACAGAAATCCCACCACATCACTGTCCCGGTGGGCTCACGGGCACAACACGCAGGTGTGGTGTGCACTCATTACACACAAAGTGCTTGTCACAAATGAAACCCCAATACCTTGATGGTCTCATCCCAGGAGCATAAACATTCATCATGCGAACTCCGGTCATCCTCGCCGCAGCGCCTATTGGCTGGCCATCGAACAAAGACGGTCCGCCGCACTGCACCCTTTCGGATGCGCTTCTGCGGCGGTCTGGAATACCCTTACGATATTAAATCTAGATGGAAAACTAATTTCTTTCTAACCTTTTTTTGCGCGTTTAGTTTCTTCTCATTGCCCCCACACCTCCAATTAGCACGGTTGGCTACGTACGGTGCGAAAGAAGTTCCAACACGTGCGAGTGTGCGAGCTCACCACGTGCGCGTGGGCCTGAACCGCGCTGTCCTCACACAGGCCTCCGTTCACTTGCACCATCTCGTCCACCGCCCCGTACCTGCTGCTGCTGCTGGTGCTGCTGCTGCTGCAGTACAAAGTCACTTGGCGTTACTGACATGGCAGATGGCTTCAGTGACTCGAACATGGCAGGTAAACCGTTTAGACGAATGGTACATCACTAGACTAAGAGTGCGCACCTTCGATTAGCACGGCTGGCTATGTACGGTGCGAAAGAAGTTGAACATACATACGCATATCACGCTCCCTCTCTGCCCGCTACCACTCCACCCTCCTCCTCTTGTCCTATGCGGAAATTGTCGGGTAAAATAACACCCCCCTTTCATTCGCCGAGTGGTGACACTTAAGCTTACAGAGGTTGAAACGCACGCCTTTGGATAATAAAACCACAACTCGGGAAAGGCACTGCTCACTCTGCACCAAAACAATGGACGGGCTACGCGTCGAGTGTGATGGAACTGGGCGTGCCAGTTTCAAAAACAATGCATATATTTCGATTTAAAGCTTTCGTGACTGCAAGGATTCATCTTCTTTGGTTCTTTCGGTAAAGTCACGTAGAATGAGAATAAAATAATAAATTGATCAAATAAAATAACACAATAAAATTCTCACGACGTTTCGGCCACAACACAAGCGGCCTTCATCAGGTGAAGGGACGAGACTGTCTGGAGGACAGTTATTTTATCAATTTATTATTTTATTCTCATTCTACGTGACTTTACCGAAAGAACCAAAGAAAATGCATATATTATCATAGTATGTTTTTGTTTGCATTTTGACTGCAGGTATTGTGGTTAATGCAGACATGAATCCTTGTAAAAAGGTTTCAGTTTTGTTGCCAGAAAAAAAGGGGAAAAACCCTATTATTAAAACTGTTTCATTTTCGATCCAGCGGGAACGACTTAAGTCGCTATTCCCGAGCCTCAGACATTTCCCTCCGAATCAATGAGGACCTTTATTTTTACTACGGCAAGTCTCTTCAACGTTGCGTACATCCATCACCGATGTGAAAAACGCTCCGCAGGGTTTGCTCCAAAACCCTTAATTGCTAAGTTAAATGTAATTATATTTCGCACCGAATTCATCTTCGCCACTGTAAAAAAATCTAAAACGTGTGTGAGTTTGTGTTTGATGGCAGTGGGGTAGTGGTTCACACACTGCACAATGAAGCCGGCAACCCGAGATCGATTCCCAGCCATGGCTAACATCAGTGGAGTTTATCGACACTGATGTTATCAACATTGGCACCGAGGAAACAAAGGCAGGAAGTTGTGGTCACGGCTGACCACCCCACCCTCCACGTGTGCCATGTCGGCCTTCATTGGTGCTCCCTAACAGTACTAGGCCCAACAGCCTATATATGAGACTGTGCGCAGAATCTTTGTATTTATCTTTGCCTGAAAGTGTACACTCACCTCAGCGTTGATAAATTATTACCTCTCTGAGAGTAGGCCAGCCTTGGCTTTGGCCCTGGATACATCAAAGTGCACCTCGTTTCGGTGTTGCACATCGTTAGAGACTCCATTGTTCAGCTGCTTCGAGTTGGCCTGATGACACAAGGCGGTAAAAGAGGCATCAATCATTGCCTTCATTTACTGCACCTTCACTTGTGACCAATTCGCACTTGAGATTGCTTTTCGCGTGGCAAAGTTCAACGAACTTTTCTCCGAGTACGTGTCAATTATGGTCGGTCTCACTATGCCGTGTCAGATGTAATAAAGCGGACTCGGACTTTTTAGCTTGCTCAGCACCAAGTGGCCTTTTATCGCTCTCTTTATTGTTGAAAGATCCTAATGCCGTGCGTTTTTTGACAGAACTTATTTCTTACCGCGGCGAGAAACACAGATTGATACAGGGACTTTCCCACGCAGCCAATGAAAGAACCTCACTTTTGTCCGCATTCCCAAGTGGAGCCAACCACGAGTCCGCTTGTAACATCCTCACTGATATCCCCCCCACCACTACCACCGCCACCCACCCCAGTCTCATAGCCAAGTACGGGGTTATACATTTCGAGATAGTTAAAACCTACGATGTGATCTAGCTCAAATGAGCAGAGGTGGTGCCCTCTTTCTCCCGCTTACAGCCCTGAGCCAGCGGAGGGAATTCCACATTCCCCTCTTTCTCCCGCTTACAGCCCTGAGCCAGTGGAGAGAATTCCACATTCCTCTTGACGACAGCGAGTCTATCCATGGGACAACCACTGTGGACTTCTGCACAGAGTGGTGCTCATTTCATAGACCCAGAAGGAAAGATGTGTGGAGTCAATTCCCAACCACCGCATCCGCACGCTTTCCGATACGCTTCTGCGGCCGTCTGGTACGTCCCGATATTAAGACACCACTGGTGCAGTGCACTTTTAAATCGTCTCAATTGAAAACTCATTTCTATGGAACTGCCATTCGTGTTTAGTTTGTTGTCCTTCTGCCGCATCTCGAATTAGCAAGGTTTGGTGACGTATGGTGCGAAAGAAGATCAACATACGTACGTACATACGTACAACCGTGAGTTGAATTCACTGCTTCCAATTGAGGGCCGCTTGCTCTACCGCTGATCCAACTGGCCGGATTATAGATGCCCCACTGAATTATAAATACCATCTTACTTCCTTCTCAACAAGTAATTTAATATTGTGAAGGTGATTGCTCCATATCTTATGGGGGGGGGGGAGGGCTAAAATATTTACTAAGTGTTCTGAGATCAGTTGGTGAGGTGGAGAGGCATGGAAATAAATTGCAGCTTTTGCTATAAAATGTCTTCCCATTATTTTTAGTGGGATATCGATGAATTAATAACACTGCACGATTGAATCAAGATTAAATGCAAAAACAAATGTCAGACTCTTTGTTTCAGCTTGTGCAGAGACTAGGCTTGTGACCATCCAATCAAATGCAAATAAGTCTGTTCAATTCAAGTCGGAGGTGGTCTTTGTTTTTAGGCCGAATCCGCAATCGAAGAGAGAATGGGCTCAGCTGACCAACATTATTCTCTTCAGCCACCAAAAAACAGCCAGGGGCAGAATCTCACTATTCTACACACACAGACACACACAACATCAATACAAAAACTACAAGAACGTTCTACATTTCACAACATTCATGACAGCATTATATCTCACTCAACACACCGACAATATATTTTAACTTCAGAGTATTAAAAATGCGATGCATTCAAAACCAAGTCCATTCGTAATCAACTTATCTTTGGAAGCTCTTCCACACAACAGTCAAGTGACATGAGCAACGCTAATGAGTTGGGACCTGACAAGGGCCTAACCACGATGCAAAGAACCCCGTGCCAAATATTTAATGCACCGTGTTTTATGGGACCGCAATGTTAAGACAATGTGACCGTGCTACATTGCACAATGTCATTCATTTTCAAAGGGTAAAAGCAGGAAAGGGACAGCTCAGCAATTGCTTGCACACGCCACCGCTTTGGAGGCTATTTTGGCCTACTCCTCCAAGCTGGCTAGATGTGTTGGAAGCGGTGGCAGCACCCTAACTTTACTGCGGTGGCGAGATGTTGACTACCTCGCCTGGTATGCAGGAGGTCGTCGGTTTGATCCCGACCCTGACGCCTGCTGCTGTATATTTGGAATTTGCGTGTTCTTCTCGCCCATTGTCACGTAGATTTTTCTCGGGGCCCTCCGGTTTCCCCCCTCCACATTTAAAAACATGCATGTTTAGAGGGTGTTTGGCTGCAATTAAATTCCACGCAATAAGCAGCTTCATCGAGCTGTCATTTGTGATAGCCAGGTCGCTTCTGAAAAAGAGCTATACAGCTCAGTGTGCCTTACCTGTAAAAATAATAGTTTAGTTTTAGTTTCTCACCATAATCGACCTGCCGATTGACGGACTGCAATATGCCATTCATACAGTATGGTGGAGAGAGGCAAAGCATTTTAAGAATTTTTCCCATTCCATCGCGTCAACTGCCACACCAGGTGATTCAACTGTGGCAATCCCCTCTGGATTGCAAGCCGAGAGCGTGCTTCTAAGAAAGAGCTATACAGCTCAGTGTGCCTTACCTGTAAAAATAATAGTTTAGTTTTAGTTTCTCACCATAATCGACCTGCCGATTGACGGACTACAATATGCCATTCATACAGTATGGTGGACAGAGGCAAAGCATTTTAAGAAATTTTCCCATTCCATCGCGTCAACTGCCACACCAGGTGATTCAACTGTGGCAATCCCCTCTGGATTGCAAGCCGAGAGCATGCGTCACCGTTACGTCACGGAAGCTCTCCTTGCGGTGCACTTAGGGATGAAGGAAAACACCGGCGAGTACAATGAGAACGGAAACTACCGTCAAATAGCCGTGCATCGGTGTTTGAAGGGCCTGCACACGAACGGGGGCCCCATTACCGTTGTGCCCACGAAGCCGCAGCTTTTGGCGGGGACGTGGTCGAGACCCATGCGCAGGTGCCTCTGCTTCTCGCAGTACGTGGTCCACGTCTCCTCGGTGAAACCAAAGTTGAAGAAATCGGATGGGTCGGTGCCTGTACGCGAACAAGACGATGCACCCCCATAGCCATCATCATCATCATCGTCGTCGCCGCCACCACGGTAACAATAATCGACTAGTTGAACACGTTGGCTTTCACGACCAATATCATCCATAAGGTTTTTTTTGGGTTAGATCGCATAAATGTGTGTTGTTAAAACCCGCCACCATCCGCCACAGCCAACTAGTAAGGGTTGTCACGTAAACAGAACGTGGCCAATTCGTCACTCGCACAGCACACCGGTGTGTTGGAGAGTAAACCCACAACATTTACAATCTTGAGTACGACGTTTTGCCAGTAATTACAACCAGCTTCATCAGGCGACAGCCAGATTTGTGGAGAAGTCCACCTGTTTTCGTTTCTTCACAAAATCACCCCGCACAGAAATCTGCTCTTATCAAGATGCTCATTTATTGAGCTAAGAAAGTGTCAGATGGTGACAGTCTGAGAAGTGAAATTCAACATGTTAAAGAAGCGCTACAAATGAACAGTTACAATGATACACAAATCAACAGGGCATTGAATGCCAAAACCAAAATCAAATAAGACGAGCATTGAAACTGCCCAAGTAATTAAAACAATTAAAATACCGTACATTGCGGGAGTAACTGATGAACTAGCCAGATGTTTGGAAAAACAAAACATCCGAGTCAGATTTGGCACGGTACATAAAATACAGAATTTAATATCTGGTACAAAACATGTATTATCGAAACTATCAACAGAAGGTGTGTACAGGATTAACTGCACTTGTGGCAAATGCTATGTTGGGCAAACAGGACAAATGATCAGCATGAGACAAAAAGAACATCAGATAAATATTAGATTCTCCCAAATACAACCATCAGCAGTAGCAGAACATGCGTGCCAACAAGGACACTCAATTGATTTTGATAATGTTGAAGTTATGTGCAAAACTAGCTACTACTGGCCAAGACTAATTAGATGATCTATCGATATTGAAAAAAATACAAATAATTTTAACCGTTCAGATAGATAGCGACTTAGTGCTGTGTGGAAGCGAATCATCAAATAATACATTGTTTAAATGCATGCCTATACAGGCCACCATACTTGAATAGGGATTGCCATTGCTACGGCTATTTTAATACACACAATGGACAGGAAGGACAAGATCAAAGGGCTCGCATAGCGTGCATGCATCATGTACGTTGACTCATTAATCCCCCCCCCCCCACTTTGCCAAGAGCGCAGAAGCGTGGTCACCACATCTACGCCTCTATATAAAGAACGAAGCAGGTGGACGTCTCCACAAATCTGACTGTCGCCTGATGAAGCTAGCTGTAATTACTGGCGAAACGTCGTACTCCGATTGTAGATGTTGTGGCTTGGCTCTCCAACACAGCAGTGTGCTATACTAATGACGAATTGCCCACGTTCCATTAACTTGACAACCCTTACTAGTTGGCTGTGTCGGGTGGTGGCGGGTTTTAACGACACCTTCATATATTTACGCGATCCAACCGAAAAAAGGACTCTATTATGAACAATCGACTAGTGACGCGCCGCTGATCAAAGTTCACTCTTCACAAGAGGCATGAGGAACCACTAACGAGCAGGAAGCAAAGCCACGTGGCTGACCAAGTATAAAAAAATTGCCCAAGCTCTGTGGACCTCTACATATTAAAGTCTCATTGGCCAATTAATGAGTGTTTGCACGAGGGAGGAAACCAGAGAAAACGCACGCATGCAAGGAGGCAACACTCTATCCCGTACAGACAGAACAGGTGGAGTCCACATTTCGCTGTACAGCCTTCTCCTGGCAAGCCAAATCGTAGCTGCTCAATACCCACGGTAAAGAAGTTTAACAACATCAGAGCGATCCCACCAACCCTTACCTCCACAGTGCAGGATTACAGGCGTGCGCCACCGTTGCCCGGCTAGCATCACCATCGTCAGTTGCAGCTACGTTAAAAAACACACTCTTGTGCTACGATGCTTCCTGTGTATTAAACACACACACACATATCGTGGGAGGTCTCATGATGTCGCTGCTCAACCCGAGCTCTCAATGTCCTGATGGTGGCACTGTCTTTGTGCCATTCGCCTTTTGGCGTCCTGTGGTCTAACACTGTGTGAGACTAGGCTCTAAAGAAAGCCGTCTCTGGTGTGGACCAATCAGTTTAAAAGACAATGCATCATATACTATCAGAGCATGTTTTTTTGTTTGCATGTTCACCACAAGTATATGTGGTTAATGCAGACGTGATTCCTTGAAAAAGGTTTATTTTTTTTTTTACATCTTAACGGCTGTTTTTATTGTCAGCAAGGGTAAAACCTATTCTTACACGTACACAAACTTTATCAGGATCATCAGCAGTAGCTGCAGTATCGTCAGCATCATCATCATCATCACCTTCAGCTATGTAAAATACATCCATGTCCTATGCTTAAATAAGCACATTGAGCACCCACCAGCATCATCTTCAGAATGTTCTTCATCATTGCTATCATGTTTAGTTTGTTATTTATGCTTTTCAGAAGAATACCTGCCACAAACCTTTATAAATACCAAGTTTATCAGAAACGTGGAAGTTTCCTGCTCAAAGGAGTATTACTGGTGCTTATCTCCACCTAAAAACTCTAAAACGGTGGTGGAAATTCAGCATTCCTATGTCAGGCTGAGTCTATCTAAAAGACAATCCCTGCCGACTTCCTACAATGTTGGCGTTCGTTGTATTGTAGCCTGGGGGGGATGAAAATCCGAGTCAACCCCTGACCGGGATTTGAACTCTCCAAATCCTCTGATTGCAAAATCATGAGCTCAAAACACCCGCAACAACTCTCGGCTAGATGCATTACAATAACGCGTTGGGTAAAATAATAAATATATATAAAAGAATCACGGCGCATGTCTTCGTCATGCGGCAGTCTGTAGAGCCTGTCAAGTTTTAAACAACGGAATGACAACACACCCATCCAATCACACCTACGCATTACGAATGAGGAGAAAATATATACAATGTCCAAGTGGACAGACGACAGTCTAGGTGACGATACTATTAACGAATGTGTGGCAAGTGGAAGGAAACTTCAGATTACCCAGAATAAACTGGCACGCAAGAATGGATAATAAGACTCGACACAAATGGATTCAATAATTCATTGCTGTGCTACGTCTGCTGGCCACCTCGCTGTGAAACCCTGCCACAATTTGTTTTAGCCATGTGACCCAAACATTGCCAAGATATATTTTTCATGCCAAGCTTGCGGAATTTCGCCCGGCCGCACACCTCGTTGTCCGCTTGTGGGGAATGTAGCCGCCACCCAAGGGTTAACACCCACCCATAGCGTACGCTTGTGGACGGGGCGGCGCACACGCCTTTGCATTTAGAGATAACGTCACATCTCTTGGCCATTAGGAATCACAATAAGGCCGCCACTGTACGTACCGGTGGGGCCATAACCCAAGAACAATGTGCCATTGCAGCCCCCCCCGTGCATTAGGACACCGCATTGTGTTTTCCACGCCGTTAAAATGCGGGCAGCATCTCCAAACGCTGCGCAGATTAATTACAGGGATATTCGTTAAATTGGCAAACAGCTCAGCGGAGGATAAAAAGACTGGCAGAAGGAATATAAAACAGCGTTTGTTAGTTATAGTCGGTGGAAAGAAGCCTGCATACGATAGACAGCGAGGGGGCGTCACAATAAAGAGTGGATTCCTCATCACAGAAAAACTAAATCCACGCGGAAGGGAGTGTCTGATCCATCTAAGAGTAACAATTGATGTCAGAGGAATATTAGCTTCTAAAGATAATGGTGCGCTAGGTTACAGAGCCCTGTGAAGACTAATGGCGATCTTATAGTGACTTTTGCTCGTGCCCCATGAGCGAGGTTCATTATAAATCCTAATTGTATACAGAAAAAGGAGCAATCGCCAGAACCCACAACTGGCCACATTGGGTGTGGCGAATAGATCATGCGCAAATTTAACGGAAAACTATCAGTCATTCCTCTAATGGTATTGGTAAAGTCCATCAAATTCCAATGCTTTGGGCAAGAATCAATTCCGAATTATGCCAAGATGCAATTCGAAGGCTGCATTTCAAATCAATTCCAATCCATTCGGTCAATGCTTAGGTGAACGGTAAACACACATTGCTCAGTAAGATTAATGTGCATTTTACTCACTCACATGCCAATCCGGGGTCGTGGGTGTAACTGAAAGCACAGATGGCTTAATTGTTTAAATAGGCTTCATATTCGCTGTGTAATGTTTTAGCTAGCTGCCTCCATATCCCTCGCCAATATAACACGCAGCTACATTCACTGCGCAAGCCACCAGAATTGATGTTGAGCTAAAGCCAATTATGTATTATCACACACAACAACAAGACCTAACAAGCGCGTTTGCACACATACACACAGAAAACCCAACAGCTACATTACCAACTTAAAGTCATCTGCAATTGATTACCAATTAAATGTGTTTTACAATGCTATACAATGCACCGCGAAGAGTAACAATGTAAGCCAAGTGCCGGCCATGGACACGAGTGTGGGTATTTATTAAAGCTCGGCTGCCTCATTTGGCAGCACACGATGAGAATTCGAAATTAACCTCGAGATGACCGAGGTGCAGTGGTGGCGGCGGTGGCGGTAGCAGCGGCGGTAGCAGCAGCGGCGCTCAACAAAACCACAAGCGGCGGAAACGTGAAGGTGCACAAGCGACTCCCCGCACGATGAGCAGCCATGTGCACGTTCGTCAAAACCAGTGGAGCTTGGCTACCGACCCTGCTGAAGGTAGAAATAAAACTAAGGCAGTAAAGAGTTTGGCGCTACCTGTATGGTGGGCGTTGGTTAAGGTGCTTGCCACACATCGCTCGGCACGAACAACCTCATACAAGGGCGCAGCCAACTTTGAGATGGCGTTTAGTGGTCATCAGCAAAAACAAAGTTTGGCCCTCAGGTTGTCCACAGGGAGGGCCTCAATCTCCCAAGACTTTGCCGATGGAAGGGCGGTGTGTCTGCACACTTGGGCTTGCGATGGGTCAAGGTGCGACAAAAGTGTAATGTCTTTGTTTGCGGTGTTTATTTACGTGAATTTCTAAGTGGGACGTTCACACACGGGTGGACTGGATGGCACGGTCCCACTGATCGGCCGCCAAGTTCGCCAGAGTTCACGGCCTCTCGACTTCGGTGTGCGGGGGGCATCTGTGGGGACGGCCGTCTACGCCGATCGTCCCGCAGACAGCGGAGAACCAACGAGCGTGCACCGCGCTCGCTGTAGACACATCGAGGAATGCCCACGCCTCGTGTGTGAAAGAGGCCAAGGCGTGCTTTCCTGGCAAACGGCGCGCAGGTCGAGTATCAGCTGCAATACGTTACTGTGCGGACGCCTGGTCCCGCGCATCCTGTGTGCGTGCGCGCGTGCATCGTCCGCTCAGGAACGGCATTGTACAGGCTCTCCCCGGACCTGGCTTCCTCCACGGCTTCTCTTCCAGTGAGTCGAGGTTGAAATCCAGGACGGGGACACCACCGATGTTCCCCAAGGCATTCATGTCCACCCCCTTCTTCTGCTTGCCGGCTGCGCACACACGACGACAGTTCATCGTTAATCACCGGCTCATCACCGGCAGATAGGCCACCTGGGGCCATCAAGAAGCCACGAAACTCATCAAACGTGCGAACGCGTTCAGCTTTTTTTTTTGTTCCATCCCACTTGCTTCATCGCGGGCACCCGAGGTGTCTCGCTCAAGGTCACTTTCCAGACAAAGAGCGCTCTTTCCTCCACCGTTATGTTCTTGACAAGCTGTTCACATCTAATGACATCAACAGCACAATAACGCACACAATCTTTTTTTGTTTTGTTTACGGCGAGGTCTGCCGCGGCTTGTTCATTAACGCGACTTCGGGGGATCGTCCCGTCTAGCACAATGGAGACTCGCTCAACCCAGCGCTGCCATTCCTGCCACAATGAGTGGCTTCGTCGATGACCTGTGGGTTCTGACGTGTGAACCCTTATCAATGCTACAAAACACACGCGGTTCCCGAAACTGCCCACATTTGGCGTACACTCATTACCAGCCGTCCAGATTTTTACGCTTGTCATCCAGCATCTGACAAGAATGACACAAACTAGGCCATTATAATTTGACTCCACGTCGCCAAGGACATCAGGTTGGGTGTCACTTTTGAAAATCTCATTATTGAAACAATAGTTTTTTATTGCCTCCTGTAAAGCAAATCTGAGCCTCGCGCATCCAATTCTACCTTATCGTGCAAACAATAAACGTGCGCAGGGTTCGTTGTGTTCAGCGGAAAAAAGTGTGGCTGGCATGGGCTCTTGCGCAAAGGAGTACGATGGGGGGTGGGGCGGGGCGGGCCCCCCCCCCCCACCCATCCAATAACCTTCCCCTCCTCCCCCCTACATAGACTGGACGCTGGAGCCCCCGCAGAACCACCAGTGGTCTCTGGTTGAGTTGCACCGCCGACACAATTGATAGCTACGCCACTGCTTATGCAACGGCGTGAGCCAATGCACGTTTATCTGCCCCCCCACAATGTTTGAACTGTCCAATGCGAATTTCACACATCGAGGAAATGGGACGGTGGGATGCGCCGTGAGCAACAGCGTAGGGCGATACGTGGAAACATCAGGCACGACAGTCTTGCATCGAGGCACTTTTTTTTACCTGCAGCAGTGTTGACACACGACTGGGTCTGGGTCTTTATATTGAGGCTCACGGGATTGCCACTGTGAGCAGAGCTGTAATGAAAGAGCAACGCCGACATATTCACATTGCCTGGTGTCTTCATGGAGACCAGGAATAAAAAGATCGTAAGATTAACGTCCCATGTCATTCTACTGCCTCTGGTTGAAGGCCACTGCAGACCGTGTTGGTCATTAGGGTCCTCTGACTATACTTCACCACAGGGACTCATGTGGACTGGTGATGGAGGAGGAGCCAGCACCGGTTCAATAATCTCAACTGGCTGTCACGTTAGCTGTACTTGGGATTGCAACTCATGTGTGTTCATATGTTTTCTGTATTTAGTTTGCTGTCCTTCCCCCGCACCTCCGATTAGCATAGTTGGCTATGTACGGTGCGAAAGAAGTTCAATATACATACATATAGGTCACTGGGTTTGTATCGAAATATTGAACACACTGTGCTCCTCCCCCCCCCCCCACCACCGCCCCATTAATATGGTACGAATCCAGCAATAACACAGCTGCCTTAAACACAGCCGTAACTTACGACCGTGTTAAATTCACAGTGATAACCGTTCCATTTGTGCTCCGCTGAACGCGTTGTAAATCGCACACTTGCTCAGCCATTAAGGTAAAAAAAAACCGAACCTCAACCCCCACTCTGGCTGCGGCTGATGCCGTCATTGCTCCCGAAAGCTTTAACAAACGGTGCGCATCGTTCGGGAGTAAACGGGCGAGCGGTCGTTGTCAGCAGCGGTGCCTGCAACTGCTCCCACGTGAGCAGAGCGCATGCGTTCCAGGGCACTTGGCACATTTGCGGATGCAATCGGGGGACGCATCCCCACAATACCCGCTTTATAGGTGTGTAATGATGCCATCAATCAATTAAAATGGATTCTAACGCACACGACACATGGGCAAGATCGCACGCGTGCGGGTCTATTGCTCTAGATACATACACGTTGTATGTAATGAGTTTCACGTAAGCCCAGCAGCCACCAGAGGCCCCTAAATTCACAATAATAGTAAAGTCTTGAATATAAATAAGAATAAAGTCTTGAATTGAATCGTGACCCATAATTCTGAATATTAATTTAATCACAGGGGGGGGGGGGGAGGGATATCATTCCATATTCATTTAGAGTTACATTCAAAATCAGTTTCTTGGCTGCTGAGTTTGCATTGATTGTTGAAGAGTGTTGAGGTTGGAGTGCTGGCTGGAATCACTGAGATCCTGGGTTCTCTAGTGTAGCATTTGAGTTAATGGTCTCAGCAGGTCACCAATGGCTGCACCAAAAGAAACCGCAGACTAAATTTGGTGCTACACAATTTCGTTGAGGTCCAGCTGACAATTTAATATGACCGTACTCCGATAAACCTCACTGTCATTTGCACAACGGGTGAGAAAGTACTACTCCCTATTGTGCAGACCACAGGTTACTTGAATGTTTTTTTTCCGAGGTAGCTCTCTGTGGTATCTGCTTCCGTAGCCCATTCTTTTGGCATTAAGAGTTACACCGCCATGGACAATCTGAACAGATATGACACTGATGGTACAATTGAGATACAATTGTGGAGACGCACGTTTAAAAAGATTGTTGCTATTCGTCCACTTATAGTCAGATAAAAAAAATAGCTTCATGAGCTGTGTGCGTAGGTTATGTGCCGAGTACGTGCCTCCGGGGTTTGAGGCACTACGGGCCGAATGTTAAGAGCCTGCCAAGCTCCAACCCCGAGGCTTCATTTTATCCGATACATTAGTGGAAGGAAATTATAATCTACCATTGTTCTGTAACTAAACTATTGCCCATAATGCACGTGTTTGGGACAATTCTAGTGATTAAATATTTTCCCCAATTTTACTCCCATCACGCTCTCGGTGTCGCTCCATGAGAGAGGGTGTCTCGTCAGAAGTCGTGCAATGTGGCGCGTCACAACGTGTTAGAGAAAAGCCCGCAGGAGGAGGTGGTAGCGCACCGCCACATCGGAGATCACTTCCACTGACCTCTTGCCCGCACCAAGCGCGCTGCACTTTATCACGTGCCCTGCTATAGATGTTCTTTGGGTATCAATAAGAACCAAATGTGTTTTTCTTTCTTTCTCAGAGTTGCAATTTGAAAAAACACATGGATTTATGTGTATTTGAATGCAGTCGTTGGTGACCCGGGTGAGGTCATCAACTCGTTCTATGCTTTGTAAGCCCAAATCTACAGGACCCGTTTTGCCAGCAGTCCATTTACCATATTGTCCAAGTCTGTGTTTGAACATCTTATTCTTGGTTCTTTCGGTAAAGTCACGTAGAAGGGAAAAAAATAAATAATAAAAATAGAAAACAATATTGTTTTATATTTTATATTTTTATCATTCTTTTTATTAATTTATTGTTTCCTTTCTATGTGACCTTACCGAAAGAACCAAGAATATGAATCCCTGCAGTCACGAAAGCTTTAAATCAAAATCTGTATTATTGCCAGGAAGAGTAAAGCATTTTCCTTCCTTTTAATCAACTTGAAAGGCCGGTTTAACTATTTAACTTTTTTTTATTTCACCAGGTAAGGCGCACTGAGCTATGAAGCTCTTTCTCCGAAGCGACCTGGCCACAAACGATAGCTCAACAAAGCGGCTCGTCGTCGCGTGGATATGTATAGCAGCCAACGACTCTGAAATGCACGTCGAGTCTAAATGTGAAGGGGAAAATAACCAGAGGACCCAGGGAAAAAGGCACGTGACCATGGGGAGAGAGAGAGAATATGCACATTTGAAATAAACAAGTGTCAAGTGGACAGCTGAGCCACTCAGCCACCTTCCGATTAAAGCACCCACAAAAGGATTCTGTAAAGCCACCCTCTTACACAAGCCCCCATAGCACGCACATGGCCAGGTCATTCACGTCACATTTCTCCTATTATCAGAGCCTTCACACGGATACATAGAAAGTCTCCGTTAACTCATCGTATTGTCAAGAGTCATGGTGCAGGTGAAGTAGTGACGACAATGGAGTGGCCATGCAATACAATTATTTAAGCATTTGTTTACACATGACAAACCGACTTGGAAGTAGTGGCAACATCCTGTGTGCTCATCAGAACCTTTGAACGGATGAGCTATGAAGACCCGGACGTGACAGAGGAGTCAAAGCGGGGGCCACTTATAATTGTCAACTCGATATTTTTAGATATTTTTTTGATATTTTTAGATATTTTTAGCGAATGTATCTACTTCATCGTCACAGCGCATTTAGAGTCACGTGCAACATTTGGAAGCAGAACAACTTATCGCATGTGTCATGCGAATCAGTAAATGCATATTATGATTATTCTTGGTTCTTTTGGTAAAGTCACGTAGAAGGGAAATAATGAAAATAAAACATAATAAAATTTAATTCTCTCGACGTTTCGGCCACAACGCAAGCAGCCGTCCTCAGGTGAAGAACAGAGCTTATTTTACTGTTTCCCTTCTACGTGACTTTACCGAAAGAACCAAGAAAATGAATCCCTGCAGTCACGAAAGCTTTAAATAGAAATCATATTATTATTGTTGTTTTGTCCAGGACGAGTGGCCACACACCTGCGGGTTTTGGTTCCGGTGCGGATGTTGCCGATGGTAACTTCAATGTCATCGTCGTCATCGTCGTCGTCATCGTCGTCGTCGTCATCGTCATAATCGTCGACATCAAAGCCTCCGCTCTCTCTGAGATGCTGCTTTAATCCACCGACATCAGTGCCGACCTCCTGCTCGCCCAACAGTAGACAAAGCACAAGTGCGGAACGCGATCAACCATGGGACGCACGCTCAAGTCTCCACGTCGTCCAAAAAAACCCTCCTGGCCAATGGCGGAGCCAGGATTTTCAGGTAGGGGAGGGCAACCCCTCCAGCAATGAAAAATGATAGAGGAGTTATTAGTAAGTAAGGACTTTATACTCTTTGGTTCTATTGGGTAAAGTCACGTAGGTGAAAATAAAATAACAAAAAATCACGACGTTTCGGTCACAACACAAGCGGCCTTCATCAGGTGAAGGGACGGGACTGTCTGGAGGACAGCGCTGGAGTGAGAGAAGCCACGCTTAGATCACGACCTTTAAGCTGTGTGAGATGAAAACAAAGCGCTTTGACAAAGGAATTAGCATATAATTTAGCATTGAAATAGCTCATTGAAATAGCTAAGTTTGTCAAGGCGCTTTGTTTTCATCTCACACAGCTTAAAAGTCGTGATCTGAGCGTGGCTTCTCTCACTCCAGTGCTGACCTCCAGACAGTCTCGTCCCTTCACCTGATGAAGGCCGCTTGTGTTGTGACCGAAACGTCGTGATTTTTTGATATTTTATTTTCACCTACGTGACTTTACCCAATAGAACCAAAGAGTATGGATCCTAGCAGTCACGAAAGCTTTACATCTAGAAGGACTTGTCCCTTGCTTTTTATTCGACGCGTGTGCGGCGATGACGCAGCCATCGATCGAGGGTCGAATTCGAACCGCGTTGTGTGATCGGCATCGCGCTCGCTGAAGGTGAATGCCTTCAGGGAAGTCGTGTACTGTATACGCAACTCCGCACAATTCTGTGAGTTACTTATAACTGCTTTGCCATTACTTATTGCCAATTATGGACTCAGACTATTATCCTATCATCTCAGAGTCACTGGCACATAATAATATGCTTCACAGCGGCAGTCGCAAACTGCCGATTTATTACTAATAAACCCCAATGATCCGATCGAAATGAGGGATTTCGATCGGATCATTCGGGGGGGATGTGCCCCCCCCCCCCCCCACTGGCTCTGCCAGTGCTCCTGCAAATCCGCGGCTTGGATGAGGGATACCCAGCGCCGTGCGAGTCACGGGGGGTTATTTGACCGTACTTCACCAAGCCGGTCGGTGCGAGTTGGTGAAGGCGGGGGGAGGATAGACGTAGGAGAAGTACAGCACAATGGATGTTGATGCACTGCCCTGTGTAGCCCATCATGTGGCACAGCCCCGGAAATCCTCACGCAGGTTTGTAAACAAATGACCGAGACTATTGTCTATGTGTGAATATATACAGGGAGCTTCAAACATTGTTTTTTTAACACTTACATGGGACTATCGTTTTTAATACACTGTAACGTGATAACAAATGTATGTTAATAGCTTAATAAAGTCAAAGAGTCTCCACGTGTTCGCCATCATTGTCAACACGTGACCTGGAATCTTCTCCAGGTGATCTCCAGAGCCCCGAGGCAGCACATTTATTGTGGTATTGTTGCTTCTGAGAAAAAAACAATTCTCAGAAGTGCTAAAAACATTTTTAGGCACCCGGTATATATGTATATATAAACCAAAAAAGAACGTACTAAAACAACTTTTTCCCACTGCTTTTGCAGGCGAAAGTGCCAATTAACGTCAATTCAACTTTCATGGAACGTGGCACTCGCAATGCCCTCGTGCAATCTCCTGTTCGTTCTGCCTCTCTGCTGCCCACGGACAAAGTGGAGACTCTGCCGTCTACCGCCTTTGGCTTGGTTGAGTGGGAAAACTTCTCTGCTCACCCCTCGCTGCTCAGCGACTTCACCAACTTCGGATCACGCCCTCAAACCTCTTTATTCTACTGGCACGTCCAGGCCGAGCCAGTGCAGGCCCCCCCCCCCCTCCTGGTGCGGGGTTGCTTCTCCCACCGGATATTTGCCGTGCCGTGCCGGGCCAAAACCAAACCGCGATACGCTGAAGGTCTCTCAAGACAGCTGAACTAGGATCGGGTCCAAGCAGGGCCAGGGGTGGTATAATGAATGATCCATTGTGTGTGAAGTCAGTCGGTGTACTAGGAAGGGGAGCGGTGGTGTAGCGCGCTGCGCTACAAATCCGGCGACCCGAATTTGATTACCGCTCACGTCTAACACCAGTGACGATAACCTGAACTAGTCTTGAGCCTCCCCTAGGACGACTCAGCTTAAAATGAGTATCTGGTGCGATGTGTAAACATCGACACTGGGGGAGACAAAGGCGGCCGGACATGGCATTGGTCACCCACCCCCTCCGAGTGCCGTGCCGACCTTCATAGGCGTTACTCGCTAACAGCACTTGCCCCAAGTGTGTTAAGGCTATACGGGAGATCTTTGTCTTCGTACTACGAAGATAAAGTGTCACCGTGCCACTTACATGCACTTCAAATATTATCGCGGTGAGGTTAGCGGCACAAATTGCAGTTGTTGCTCTGCATCTACATCAGCCAAACGAAAGACGAAGTGGCACGGTTCCAGTTCTGCAGTGGAAAATTCACTCGGGGCCCCCACCGAACCTTACGACCCTATTAAATATATACATCTACACACGTGTATTGATTTAAGCATAATAATGTTAGCACGCAGTTCATATTTAACCTCCAGACGGGTCTTCATTGCAAAGCTTTACGTTTTTAAAGAACCAGCCGACGAGGCAGAATTCACCACGTGGTTCAAGGGCGTGAGAAATTCAATAGCCTCAGCGACGGTGCGAGCAATCGGTTATTACCGATTTCACGGCTCGTCTTGTACGGCTCACGGACTGTTTGAAAATGAATGCACTAAGAGGCATTACTAACCATATGAATCGTTTTTAATCTCTTCCCCGGCAAGCACATCATTTTAATTTACAATGGCAATTTAAGGTTATGCAGGTCTACCTTACTGTCATGTAGGCCGGTAATGCTCGATAAATCCAAGCAGCTGTCTCTGGAGGGCAGGGCGATACGAAAAAGGGACAATCACAAACAAACCATTACAATGACAACAGAGGCATTGACTCCACGCCACAATGGAGAGCACATTAACCCTTACAAATCGGAGAACATTTCAAGACCATTCGATGGTCTTTAAATTATGTGGATGGGTAGTTACTGCCTGGGACCACAAAACTCGCGACCAAAGTTAGAGGCTTGGCCATGGCCAACATCAGTGGTGAATGAACCGGTGCTGCTGCCAACGCCACCGCCTCCCTGACACCACCCCCCCTCTCCCCCCACGGCCCCCCACATTCACCAATATGCAGTGACCAGTGTAGTTGACAATGCTCAAACCGAACCCAATGACCGACAGACAAGGCATGGGGAGGAGGCCTGCATCTAGTTGTGGATTTAAATGGCTGTGAATGATTACAGTCGAGCACGGAGTCATTCACTGACATCAAATCGCAGATTAACAGTTATTTTATTTATCATTATGTTTGTTTACCCAGGAAAACGTCACTACCAGGAGGGTCGTGACAAGTTTTGTTTTGTTTTTGCAACAAGGGGCGATGTTGCACTTGCATGCAATCCCAATTGGGTGATTTAAAAGTAAAAAAAAATCAGCATTGGGATGTCTTGGCCAATACCTGTTGCACTACACGCTTCTTGTAATCTACGTGAGGAAACCGGAGAACCCGATAGAAAACGCGTGCACAACAGGGGGAGAATCGTAGAGTGCGAGATTGTGGCACCGCGGTGGCTAGGAGATGTTAACTACCTCGCCTGGGATGCAGGATGCCGTGTGTTCGATTCCGACCCCTGTCGCCTGCTGTATATTTGGAGTTTGCATGTGTCTCTCACCGTGGTTGTGTGGTTTGTTTTTTTTTATCCGGGTCCTCAGGGTTTTCCCTCCACGTTTAGAAACATGCGTTTAGCGTATTTGGCTGCTATAAATTTCCACGTGATAAGACACTGCATTGCGCTGTCATTTGTGGCCAGGTTGCTTCTGAAAAAGAGCTACATAGTTCAGTGGGCCTTACTTTGTAAAATATAACATAGTTTACTTTTAGTTCAGTTGAGTACAAAATCCACACACAAAGGCATCCGAGTGGGGAATCACAGCCAGGCCCTTCTTGACATGAAGTACAAGTGGTAACACTTCACCACCCGACCGCCTTAAAGATCGCTTGTAAAAACACTATTATTGATATAGATTACAGCACCCATAGTGCTGGAGGCCCTGCTAACGACTATTGCGTAACTGAAAATTAGACCAAGCTTTGCTTAAATACTTCAAGGTTCTTAAATCGCCAGGCAATTCCCCAAGCAGTTAAAGGTGGAGTTATGGGAAATTGACGAAATGCAGCAATATAAAACCAATAAATCAACACCAACAGATAATCACCACAAGTACATTTTACTTTGTTATTATTACAAATAATACGTGGTATCGTTATCATTATCTTAACCTAATCTATTTTGCGCATTGATCGAGGCACTCTACAGAAAATTAACAAACATATGTAACGGTAAAAATGAGGTGAATGAAATAGACGAGAGGAAGTAATGGGACGAACCTGAGATGCATGAATTAAGTAAAAGCAAAATTGATGAGAGTAAATGATGACGAATGGATTGGATGGATGGGGAATGAGTGGAGGAGGCCATAGACAGAGATTGTTAAGAAAGAACAGGAGCGGAAGTGGTGAGAAGAAGGAAAAAGATTATGGGGGTCGTAGGATTAGCCCTGGGGGAAAAAAAAAATAGTATTGAGGGCGGAGCGGAAAACTAGTGAGCGTAGTTGACTGCTTAAAGTCCTCAACGACTGCTAAACATCTATCCACTGCTGCATGAAGGCCTCTCCAAAGCTGCAGTCATCCCTCGCGATCACGAGACGCCACACACAGCCATCTGGCTCCCGCGCAGGAGCAAACTCTCATCGCGCCACCTCCACGGTGGACGTCCGGTTTTTTTTCGGGCGCGGCCCCCTCCCTTGAGTGGTACCCCGTTGTGCTGGGCCACCCTTGGGTGCCACCCATTGTGCTGGGCCACCCTTGGGTGCCACCCCGTTGTGCTGGGCCACCCTTGGGTGCCACCCTGTTGTGCTGGGCCACCCTTGGGTGCCACCCCGTTGTGCTGGGCCACCCTTGGGTGGTACCCCGTTGTGCTGGGCCACCCTTGGGTGCCACCCCGGTGTGCTGGGCCACCCTTGGGTGCCACCCCGTTGTGCTGGGCCACCCTTGGGTGCCACCCCGTTGTGCTGGGCCACCCTTGGGTGCCACCCCGTTGTGCTGGGCCACCCTTGGGTGCCACCCCGTTGTGCTGGGCCAGCCGGTCATCGGCGTCCCTAACGTTCGGTGCGTTCCCTGCTCAAGCCCAGTTACTTTTCTCGAACAATCTACAATTGTCCATAATATAAGTTTTATTTGGGTAACATCACGTAAATATAAATGTGTCGTTAAACCCACAAACACTTACAATTCGACTACGACACATTTATATTTACGCGATCTAATCCAAAAACCTCTATTATGGATAATATTGGTAGCAAAAGCCTACTTGCATGTTAAACCAATCTACAATGTCCCTAGCTCGCTTGCGCGCCAATCCTGTTCCTCTTTATGTCTCTCGGTGTAACGCCAAGCGTGCACCTCCCCAGCTTTCTTTGCACACTTTTCAGATTTGGTTCCATTTCATTTCCAGTTCGGTAGAAAAGACTAATGAATGTCAACTATCATTACGTCTAGCCTTTGGAGACTAAAAAAATACATGTAACTCTTCCAATGTGGTATAAAAAAGGAAATTTGGTGCATTAATTGTAACACAAAATGACACAAATAATACACTTTGTATCATTCCCATGAATGCACTCACTCTTTTTGAAGACCTGTCAATTAAATTTCGATTTAAAGCTTTCATGACTGCAGGGATTCATATTCTTGGTTCTTATTATTTTATTACTTCCCTTCTACATGACTTTACCAAAAGAACCAAGAATATGAACACCTGTCAATTAGTCCATAACAGACGATTCACTTGTCAATACCACCCAAGGTGACATGAACTAAAGTGGTAGCAATGTTTTTATGTGGCCAAGAATAGTGATATACGAGATATCTACTTAAAATGAGTGGGTGTTTTCCAATAGTTAACTCATTCAACGCATGAAATAAATTGGTAGATAGGTTATTTGAACCTATCAACGTGACTTTACCGAAAGACACAACGAATTAGAATTCCTGCAGTCACGAAAGCTTTAAGTCAAGAACTAATAAAGTTGTTCTACCTTCGGTGGTACCAATATCCGCTACCGCCCATGAACTAAAAACAGAAATTCATCATTTCACACATTTCCAATGTACATTTTTTCTTGCATATTGTCACTTAATTTGTAAAACCATTATTTAGAAAATTGATGGGACAAATAGGAATGGTCGCAGACAGGATATAAATATAAACACCCTTTACATTTCATCAAACAATTCACCTAGGGGCACACTGAATAATTTATATGTCAAAATAAGCTACACGTGACCAATTCCGTCCAATCACAGATAGTTAAAATAATGACACTTTGTCAAAGTAACACGTAATCTTAGCACACGGTGCCCCAAAAACTAGTACGAATCACAAGTTATTTGTCTTACTTCCTGAAGGAAACTCAATATGTGTGTGCTACATTCTGATAAGAGTTTGAGACAATTTATAAACGTGCACATGACAATAAAAAACATCTAACTCAATTATGTCCAGCATTTACAAAAACTTTTTATATTCCACCTGAATGCACAAAATGTAAATAATTAAAATATTTATACTCAAATAGATAATCTGAAGCTGCATCTTCTTCGTATGTTCCGTCATGATTATCTGGAGAAAGAAAAACAAGAAAACATTAAAAGTGGTTACTACATTTTTAGTACCTTAATTTTTTAAAACCCAACTGTAACAAGTCCATTATTATCTCACTCATTAAACTTGAAGTTAATTTTCCATTTTCTGGTGGAATAATAGAAGCAGAATATCTATACCACAATAATAATAATAAATGTAAGCGATGAAGCATAAAATTAACTAAATCTTTAGCCATTTCATCCATGTAATTACTTTATTAAAATACACTGTAAATGGAGAGGTATTGTAACATTTTCTGCATTTCTGAGCTTGGAATTAAAAGTTTTGAATTGACAAGTTCCTACTTCCCTCGGTGTCAGCGCAAAAATACGATACCTTCAGTAATTATAGCCTCCGCATATATAGCTGTTATGTTAAAGCGTGAACGATATTTTCAAAGTTCAACATAACCACATTTCATAATAAATGAGCAAATTTGTTTGATTTAAAACCCGTTATTCAATAAAAAAATGTGCCATGGTACAATGGTTAGCACACTGGATCTGCAATGCAATCTTTTGGTGCAGCATCTGAAACAATGGGGCAGTTCTCTTAAACCCCTCTGGCCTTTGCCCACCCAGCTGTATAAGCGGGTACACATCACGCAGCCGTATAAGCGGGCATACATCACAACAAGAGGGTACACATCACAACCTCTCCTGCCTCTGCCCACCCAGCAGTGTAAGCAGGTACACATCACAGCCAGTCGATCGATCGCCAGGTCACGTATGTTGGGGGAAAAAGGTTGGAAACGCTCACATTTCCTAGGATGCATGGCCAGTGTGGAAGATTAGGCCAAATACCCGCTAGACGGCTCCCTCTAGTGGGAGGGCTTTTCGCTAGCAGTGATGTGAGCAAGCAACTGCAGAGCTGCACTCTTAACGTTGATAATAAAAGCCGACGGATGTGTATTTACGTTGAGGATGTTGCCAGTAATCAGTAGACATGTAAAGATGAATAAATTGATTGATTAAAATGTATTCTTATGTTTAGGATAAAAGCACGTTGCATTTTGTATGATAAAATATGATTTACCATTTTGAGTAAAAATGATACGCGAAGGACATGCCAATGTTACATATAGACCAATGGAGTGGACAAAACTATACCAATGAGTAAAAACATAAATAACACAAACAAGATGATAACAGCTAGACCAAAAAAATAACTCATTCTTGACTTGAATCATGACCAAAAATCGTGACAATCCATTTCGGATTGCCGGGAGGCTGAATAGTTTCATGTCTTGTAATCAGTCAACCTTGGAATTATCAGCACCATTCATTTTGTAGGCAGGAAAATGGATTGCAGCCGGATCACCATTTCACAAAGCAGATTACGTATTATGCAATGTGAATAACTTCATGTACAGTACCAGCGCAGTAGGTCCAAGAGAGGCAGGGAAAAAAAGCAACGCAATATCCCGCTAAATCTCTTTTTGAAATGCTGAAATGTAAAATTGGCGAGCGCGCGAATGTGCCAAAACGGCGCTGATAGAGCGTAGGGGGTAAAAGTGCCTTTTCGCAAAACGACGGTGAAGGATGGTCGACGAGGACCCCGCGGCAATTGGGAATGCACCACGCGAGTGGGCCACGCGCGTCTGAAGACGTCGCCGGACAGGCTTCAGAAAAAAAGTGGCGACGGTCACTCGCCTCCGCCGTCCAGACTGGCCGGGATAATGCCACGCAGCCGCACTTAGGGATTCAGGGGGAACGCCTCGAGTGTTTCATGCACACGCGCGCGCGCGCGGTGCCAGGAGCGCTTGACACCGATGGGATTTCGCGACAGCGACAAGTCGGCCGTCGGGACGGAGGGCACGCGCGCGCGCGCGAAACGTTTCGCGCGGCGGATTCGGACGGAAGCCTTCTCGAGGAATTGGTCGCCATGGCGGGGAAGAGAAGGAAAAGCGATGGGCAATTTCAACAACAAATCCACGCGCAAGAAATGGCACGCGAGAGATTCCAGCAAAATTGCCCTTTCGTACAAAATAACACTTGTCATTATCCAGCCTCATTAGCGCACCCTAAATAGGTTGACCAAGTACCGTACTCGGCATTATCTAAGAGCTGTACAACAAAGGATAGGCAGCTAATTGAGCAGCTCCAAAATACCACGAACTTTGTTTTATAATTCCAACGCTACTCTGTGCCACAGTCCCCCCTCCCCCTCCAATCATTTCACTTTAGGCCACCACACGGAGATAGCATAATTGGTCACGCATAATCGCCAGGCAGGTTTCAAACTATTTAGGATGGCCCTCGTGGGCATGATGCGGACCTGGAAAGCTCTGCAAACGCTCGTACAAGACGCCCCCCCCTACCTCACTCTGCACCTGTGTGTAATTACTCACGAGTTGGCAAGGCTGAACAGGCCTGGCATAATTAGTGGGCATGTTCATGTACCGCTGGTTATTTAAATTGCGTTAATTCAACGTGACTTTATGCAATAATAGCCGTTTGAAGGAAAGTGCTTATTTCTCCACAGCCGTGTCATCACGAAGCTTAGTACAACTATAGGTGGATTCTTATTTCACACCAAACAAAGCGGGAAACACTTGGCATAAAGATATACATTGAAAATCAAGTGCAGCAATAATGCTCATTTTTGTTAAAACCGCTTATTGTCGAGCTTCTGTATTGAACACAGATGAGATAAAATGAGAAAGAGAATGAAAGTAGAGAATCATTATTGTCTACAGTGCCATGAACTCTATAGATTACCCGAACTAAAATAAAACGGAGACATTACAGAACGTATTATTGCAAAGCCTCCACAGGACTCCCCACTAATCTCAATACAAAGAGTATTACAATAATTCGTTTAACTCTCCCGATGCGCTATTTCAATGCGGCCCAGTCTCATTTTCGTACAGCTTTCGACGGTGCGTGTCTCGCCGCTCGTTAGAAATCAAATGGAATTCTGCTAATTCAGCCGGGCGGTGGTGGTGGCGGTGGTGGTGGCGGTGGTGGTGGCGGTGGTGGTGGCGGTGGTGGTGGCGGTGGTGGTGGCGGTGGTGGTGGCGGCGGCGACGGCGCACATCGGTAATCCAGCACTGTGGATGCGAGGGTTGGTGGACCACGCACGTGTTGCGAAACTCCCTTCCCGCGGGCGTCGAGGAGCCACACACTCTTGGCTCGCTAGGAGAAGACGTTACAGCAAAAGGTGGACTCCGCCCGATTCATCTAGACGGGATAGAGAGCTGCCCCATCGCACGAGTGGGTTCTCTCCTGTTTCCTTCTTTACTCGTTTACCCATTTGAAAACATCTTAATATAGAGGGGCCACAGAGCTTGGAAAATTGTTGGCACGTGCTCACGAACCGCCTGGCTGCCTTCCCACTTGTCCGCTGTTCTTTGCGCTTCCGCGTCGTTCTCTCTCAAGTGTGAGAAAGTCACCAAACACATCATCATCTTTATATACGCACACCGCAACACGGTATATGTATTGTTGTGTGCACAGTACAATACACTGCAGGAATAATGATAAGTAGTCATCAGGAGCAGCCGTGGAGAGCGAGGGATTACTGTGCGCGTTACAAGTTGAATTATAACGAAATGGAGCACCACCCAAACATAGGTACAACTGCAGTACTGTACACTAAATACATTGGTCAAACGTCAAAATAACAACCCACCAGAAAGAGTCTTGAGACTCAGTTTGGCTCTTCTGAAATTGCTGAATATTAAGAGGCAAGCAATTTATATTTTATATGTTTACTGATTGCAATTTTCATTATAATGGGCCAAGACTATCAAGAAAAGCAACTTCCCATCTGTTGCAGTTAGGTGTTGTGAGTGGGAGCTTATGTATAGTTAAAATCGTTCAAAGTGCAGGCTTCCATTACGCCTTCGTATATACACATTGATGTATGGAATTAATGCTGTAACCGCTGTACTGTGTCTAGATGCAACTCTTATATTCTATTAAATCAACCAACTGCACTAAAACTAAAAAAATTATGTCAGACTGTTTTGTTGCATCAATAATCACGCCTTAAAGATGATAAGTTACTTTGTCATTTTGAAAGGAGGCGATAATGTAAATCTATTTCTAACATACTAAACATGCTATGTTGTAGTAAAGAGCAATTAAAATACCATAAAATGTGCAATGGCATTTTACATTTAATGGCTGTGATGATAACAATAACAAACACTTGCACATAGCCACGATGAAAATTGCTTCCATAAAGCCTTTTAAAATGCAGTGCTGCACTGATATATTCAAAAAATTCACCCAGACCACTCATTGTAATGAAATGTAGATGATACCAGCTGTGCAACCTGTTGTGATCCATTAAATATCAAGGACAACGTGGAACTTGCTTGAAAAGACAAATTGCTAAGAAAGCGACAATGCTCCATGCATTGGATTAATCCGAACAAAATAAATTATAATCGGAAAATAAAGCGTAGACATGAAATTTGGGACAATCTGAACGTAACCTCTGTTTCAGATTAATTAGAAACCGGGGTGACGTCTCATCACTATTTTATTAATGTCACTTCAGCGTTTTCCTGACCAAAACATGTGACATTGGGTGGACAGTACTACCGTAAAATTGCAAACACATAAATATCCAATGTCATGTAAATGGTCTGAAAGTCCACAAAAAGGTCGGAAAATTGTCCTTACTAATCAGACACGCCAAAGTCTGAAGCTTTCGATCCAAAACCCATCCCTAACGAGCACTAACCTCAGCCAACGTTCGGTTAACCAGGTGGCAATGGGTTTATCATGCTATATGGCATGCTAATGATATTGAATTAAGTCAAAACCAAGATTGCCTTTCTTCAGACAATTGCTGGGATGAATGACTCCTGGGTCTGTCTGCAGATGGATTGCGTGTTATTTACCTTTGGCGATTAAACAAACTCCCTGCGGCTCGTTTTATTTTAGGGAAGACACCAGTCTTATTACGTGTCACGTATGACCTGTGATCCTAGTAAAGCTTGTTTATTTCACATCAGCCGATTATTTACACATCCGACCGGTGTGCTTTTCATTCACCACATCAAGCAATGATGTTTCCCGCCCCTTCTTATTTGTGTTCATTACACGATTATTCATACCAGACGGTTTTTTTTCTCTTTCTTCGGTCCCTGACTCCTGCAGAGGCAAATATATTCCCTTGAGTTAAAACACTATTATTAAAACAATTTTTATTTACATGGCACCTAAACACAAAGCCAAAATTAGACTCAAAAACAGTGTGATATGCGCACCATGCGGATGGTTTTATATATATGGGCTATATATACATACACACACAAGGTACTATATACAGCAGTGTAAGGAAGAGATGGTGAATAATAGCCAGAAGAGAAGAGGAAGGTCCTGAGACTGGATGTGAACAGGGGCAATGGAGTCGATAGCACATACGGCTGGAGGGATGGAGTTCCGTGTTGCATGGGCATGTATGTATGCTGAACTTCTTTCACACCGTACGTTGCGAACCGTGCTAATCGAAGGTGCAGCAGAGGATTAGGAGGGATATCATCCAATATCATGAATTCCATTATGGTATTAGCTAATTAGTCCTATAATGGAAGCAACATTCAAAATGATCCTCTTACTGACCTGATAGCTCAGGGGCATGTTCCCAGTAGCCTGCTGTTATCACTGCGAAGCCAAGTTGCACCAGCTTAGAAGTGTGAACAATGTCCAGCTGGTGCACTCAGTATTATTTTTTTTGTACAACTCACTAGATTTTCAATTTGCTTTTTTGTATCAAATCTGAGTCCTGTTTACATGCATTTGAAGCAAAATGTGCAATATCTATGCAATGGATAAATATACTGAAAACAAAGGGATACAAACGCTATGTCCTTTAAAGTGTCCATAACATAATTAAATAGATACTGTATTCAATATTTAGGGCACACTTAATGTGCAGGATGGGAAATTGTTTTTGAAATTCATATACCGTACTGCAAGGGATTAATTTGCCATACTTCTGATTTAAATCCCATGACTTCTGGCAACGTTTCCCTTTTGTATACTGTCGTCTTTTGTCAATGCACTGGTGGATGAATGCCTCACCATACTTCACCACGCCGGATCAAAGGGGCCGGTTGGTGAAGGGTGGGTGGGTACAGTGTGGGAATCTTGTACCGTCTATCTGAAAAATGTCTTCATCATTTAGAGCCCATTATTTTAGTGCCCATGTACACTATTTAATTTTTTATGTATTACATGGAAATAATTTCTGTTTGTTTAACGTGTTGTCAATATGTACATAATTATGTGACACGGGGGGGGGGGGGAAATAGGAAATAAGTAATATCGTACCGATGTCTTTCAACTTATTTGAGAATGTTTTTAAAGGCCTCCAAATTACAGCGAAATCAATACGCGTGCTCCCAAGCACATTCCCTGTCGTTTTAATTATCGCAGGTATTTACACCTAAGTGCTAAAAAAAAGTGTGAAGAATTCACCAAAAATACAATAAGCTGTACATATGCTCACCGCAACACGGCGCTGTATATATAGTGTGTGCACACTACAATACACTGCAGGAATAACAATGCATCATCAGTAGCAGCCATTGGCAATCCATTGCTGGATGAGGACAATACATCACCACCCTGCCACGTAATGAATAACAATGGAATAATTGCAGTATTTTATAACCACGAGCAAGAGTATTTCCAATAACATTCTATACCACCTATCGTATCGTTATGTACGCATCTACTTAACTGACAAACCATTTGTCGATTTTAACAATTGCTTTTCCTAGTAGTTTTTACAAATATTGTTATCGCCCTGAGATTTGAGATAACCATTTGCTCCTCCCGGGAGACTCTTTGTTCTCGTCTCTAAATGAACGTATCCACCTGGTTCGCAATACAATCACATTCACGTCGCCATGTATTCCTGTTAAGGCACACAACACCATGACACGTAAAGTAATATCACAACGCAAGGGTCTAATTAAAATAATATATACACAGCACAAGTATAACAATTTCGCCTCGAGACACGCGTGACTTACAGATGCACAGCCAATCTAAATCTTGTGGGTTCAGATCCCGGAGATTCAAGACTTCGCCTGCCATCATCTTGCCGTCGGGTTAAAGCTTAAACCCACAATGGCAACAATTAAAATGCCCAATTATAAAGTTGCCGACAAGAGACGGGAATCTTGGGTTTTTTAAAAAAAGTTTTTTTGTGTCCCCCTTTCATTCAAAGTTTAAAGGAACACGCCCTGCACTGGGAGGGAGAGAGAGGCAGAGAGAGAGAGCCACACACACCACGCAGTTGCGAATGAGAAGGGATACTGACTCCGGCCCTACAAAACTAAAAACTCCGGCCCTATACTGACTCCGGCCCTACAGGACTTTAAACTCCGGCCCTATACTGCCCTCTCGTGGCTGTGGCCAGCAATCATCTCTGCTCACTCTCGCTGTGTGTGTGTGGTTTGTGGATTGTGACCCGGTGGTTGTTCCAGCGTCACGCTCGCGTCACGTCTCCTTCCTCTCGGAAGCGATTTGGTAGTTTCTCTCTCTCGTTGTTGTTGTTGTTATCGTCGTCGTTGAGACATTTGGTTCTTAGTTTATAATTCAGCTTACACGCCTACGCCGTCGAAAGCTGCTTCTGCAACAGCCTCGCTGCACGCACGACCGAAGCGACACCACCCACCCACCACCATCACCACCTTCTTGAGATTATCCAAAAGGCAAAACAAAAGTACACAACATTGAACACGACGTTAACCCTAATCGATTACGAACCCTCCAACCCTCTCGCTACCGAACTCGGACGAGGTTTGGTGAAACACAACAGACGTCTTCACCTACCTGGCTTCGTGTCCGCTGCGTGGGATGGGAGGAAGCCCATCATCCAGCGGTGGATTGACAAGGGCACTGTGTGTACATTAGTATTAGTATTGTTGTTGTAGTAATGTGGCACAATTGCTGGTGGCGTCTTTGCCGAGCGCTTGTTATGTTATCGCATCGTGACTACGGGATCGTTGCCAGTGCCCGGATTAAGCTAAACACGCAAATATTAAAACGCATACATTTGTAACTTGCAGAGTAAAGCAATTGTATTTTTTTTCATTTGCTATACAGCCAGATAATACGACAAATCTCTAACCTTAAACGCCCAGTCGTTCATAAAAGTTGAAGGCGGTATAGTACTATAGTGATAGAGCAAGTGTAGAATCACTGAACCAGGATTGATAGCTTGAAAGCGTTTAGGGCGGTGCCCTTGAAAGTGCGGAGCCCGTAGCTACTACTACATGTGTGTAGGGTGTAGTAGCTACTACTACATGTGTGTAGTAGCTACTACTACATGTGTGTAGTAGCTACTACTACATGTGTGTAGTAGCTACTACTACATGTGTGTAGTAGCTACTACTACATGTGTGTAGTAGCTACTACTACATGTGTGTAGTAGCTACTACTACATGTGTGTAGTAGCTACTACTACATGTGTGTAGTAGCTACTACTACATGTGTGTAGTAGCTACTACTACATGTGTGTAGTAGCTACTACTACATGTGTGTAGTAGCTACTACTACATGTGTGTAGTAGCTACTACTACATGTGTGTAGTAGCTACTACTACATGTGTGTAGTAGCTACTACTACATGTGTGTAGTAGCTACTACTACATGTGTGTAGTAGCTACTACTACATGTGTGTAGTAGCTACTACTACATGTGTGTAGTAGCTACTACTACATGTGTGTAGTAGCTACTACTACATGTGTGTAGTAGCTACTACTACATGTGTGTAGTAGCTACTACTACATGTGTGTAGTAGCTACTACTACATATGTGTAGTAGCTACTACTACATGTGTGTAGTAGCTACTACTACATGTGTGTAGTAGCTACTACTACTACACGTGTAGCTACTACTACATATGTAGTAGCTACTACTACACGTGTAGCTACTACTACTACACGTGTAGCTACTACTAACACGTGCAGCTACTACTACATGTGTAGCTACTACTACACGTGTAGTAGCAGCTACTACATGTGTAGCTACTACTACATGTGTAGCTACTACTACATAGTAGGAGCTACTACTACGTGTTGCTACTACTACACGTGCAGCTACTACTACACGTGCAGTTACTACTACACGTGCAGCTACTACTACACGTGCAGCTACTACTAACACGTGCAGCTACTACTACACGTGTAGCTACTACTAACACGTGCAGCTACTACTACACGTGCAGCTACTACTAACACGTGCAGCTACTACTACACGTGTAGCTACTACTAACACGTGTAGCTACTACTACACGTGCAGCTACTACAACACGTGCAGCTACTACTACACGTGTAGCTACTACTAACACGTGTAGCTACTACTACACGTGCAGCTACTACAACACGTGTAGCTACTACTACACGTGTAGCTACTACTACACGTGTAGCTACTACTACACGTGTAGCTACTACTACACGTGTAGCTACTAACACGTGTAGCTACTACTACACGTGTAGCTACTACTAACACGTGCAGCTACTACTACACGTGCAGCTACTACTACACGTGTAGCTACTACTACTACACGTGTAGCTACTACTACACGTGCAGCTACTACTACACGTGCAGTTACTACTACACGTGTAGCTACTACTACACGTGTAGCTACTACTACACGTGCAGCTACTACTACACGTGCAGCTACTACTACACGTGCAGCTACTACTACTACACGTGTAGCTACTATTACACGTGCAGTTACTACTACACGTGCAGTTACTACTACACGTGCAGCTACTACTACACGTGCAGCTACTACTACACGTGTAGCTGCTACTAACACGTGCAGCTACTACTACACGTGTAGCTACTACTACACGTGTAGCTACTACTAACACGTGTAGCTACTACTACACGTGTAGCTACTACTACACGTGCAGCTACTACTACACGTGTAGCTACTACTAACACGTGCAGCTACTACTACACGTGCAGCTACTACTAACACGTGTAGCTACTACTAACACGTGTAGCTACTACTACACTTGCAGCTACTACTAACACGTGCAGCTACTACTACACGTGTAGCTACTACTAACACGTGTAGCTACTACTACACGTGCAGCTACTACAACACGTGCAGCTACTACTACACGTGTAGCTACTACTAACACGTGTAGCTACTACTACACGTGCAGCTACTACAACACGTGTAGCTACTACTACACGTGTAGCTACTACTACACGTGTAGCTACTAACACGTGTAGCTACTACTACACGTGTAGCTACTACTAACACGTGCAGCTACTACTACACGTGCAGCTACTACTACACGTGTAGCTACTACTACTACACGTGTAGCTACTACTACATGTGCAGCTACTACTACACGTGCAGTTACTACTACACGTGTAGCTACTACTACACGTGTAGCTACTACTACACGTGCAGCTACTACTACACGTGCAGCTACTACTACTACACGTGTAGCTACTACTACACGTGCAGTTACTACTACACGTGCAGTTACTACTACACGTGCAGCTACTACTACACGTGCAGCTACTACTACACGTGTAGCTGCTACTAACACGTGCAGCTACTACTACACGTGTAGCTACTACTACACGTGTAGCTACTACTAACACGTGTAGCTAGTACTACACGTGTAGCTACTACTACACGTGCAGCTACTACTACACGTGTAGCTACTACTAACACGTGCAGCTACTACTACACGTGCAGCTACTACTAACACGTGTAGCTACTACTAACACGTGTAGCTACTACTACACGTGCAGCTACTACTAACACGTGTAGCTACTACTACACGTGTAGCTACTACTAACATGTGCAGCTACTACTACACGTGCAGCTACTACTACACGTGTAGCTACTACTAACACGTGTAGCTACTACTACACGTGTAGCTACTACTAACACGTGTAGCTACTACTACACGTGTAGCTACTACTAACATGTGCAGCTACTACTACACGTGCAGCTACTACTACACGTGTAGCTACTACTACACGTGTAGCTACTACTACACGTGCAGCTACTACTACACGTGCAGCTACTACTACTACACGTGTAGCTACTACTACACGTGCAGCTACTACTACACGTGCAGCTACTACTAACACGTGCAGCTACTACTAACACGTGTAGCTACTACTACATGTGTAGCTACTACTACATAGTAGGAGCTACTACTACATAGGAGCTACTACTACACGTGTAGCTACTACTACACGTGTAGCTACTACTACACGTGTAGCTACTACTAACACGTGTAGCTACTACTAACACGTGCAGCTACTACTAACACGTGCAGCTACTACTAACACGTGCAGCTACTACTAACACGTGCAGCTACTACTAACACGTGCAGCTACTACTAACACGTGCAGCTACTGCTAACACGTGTAGCTACTACCACACGTGCAGCTACTACTACACGTGTAGCTACTACTACTACACGTGTAGCTACTACTACACGTAATCTACTACTACACGTGCAGCTACTACTACACGTGCAGCTACTACTACTACACGTGCAGCTACTACTACTACACGTGCAGCTACTACTACTACACGTGCAGCTACTACTACACGTGTAGCTACTACTATCTCGTTGCTTGTACGTGGTGGTGGTGGTGACACACCACTGCTGATGGATTCGTTAAGACCCCAGGGCCACCGTTAAACTGGACCACGATGTGCTTGGGGCTTTTTCTGGTTGGGTTTCTCGTGAAAATATCATCTTGCCTTGTTGCCAAACGCTCACAAATCGGTGATCTCGGCCAAACGTCCCAACCCAGAGAGTCCACGCTGTGTTAGTCTGGCACGTAAGTGTAAATAAGTTGGAATCTCAGAAAAAAAAAGATTCCCCGCTCAAGCGAGCATCGACGCGGTTCTTGTAGCCCCGCGTCGGTGGTGGGAATTCGACAGTTATATGGCGAGGGCGAGTTCACCCAGTGCTATTACTGCAGTGGCAATTGGAGACGCGTGTGGTGTTTCTGTGAGTATGAAGGGTCACGTTTGAGGACAAAAGTCCCCGGCAGAAACCGCAGGTAACACTGCCACGAGGGCACTTGAATCGTACCCGCGACAGTCCCCGGTTGTGGTGATACACTGTTAAGGAAGGCATTTGATACGGATTCTGACTTAATTTGCCCACGCTAATTCATCATTGCATTGGGCTCCTCAAGGGAGCGACGGTACCGTGGCCACAAAAAACCTGGCGCTTTAAGCATTACCGTAATTGGCCTCGCAGAATGCTGCGCTGTCCCATGCAGGCACGCGCATGGGAATTGACCGGGGCTTGGGACATTTCCAGACCTGCTTTGATACAGACATTCCGTGTTCGCCCCCTTCGCGAATCGGTGCTGCTTCGGAGCCGTGGCTGTGGACCATGAGAAATGAAACGCTAACATTTTACAGCCCTTTGTCATCCACCCGCTTGCATGAAAACATTTTTTGTTAGCGTAGGTGCAAATTGTGGTCTTGGTGCTAAAAGAAAGATACACTGGAGTCAAAAGGTTTGTCATATTAGGTGTTCTAGCAGCAGACTCAATTGCATGTTTTGGTGC